GTGCAAAACTATAAATTATCCAGAGCGTCATTTAATGAGTATAAAAACAACCAAATCATTGCCATTATGTAGACGATTAGAATAAAAATCCAATAAATGCTGGAATTAAAAAAATATAAATTTATTTAGATCGTTCTGTTTCATCGAAACTTTATATTCTAACCGATCAAATATTCCATATCGATTCGGATCTAAATATCGAAATCCATGCAAATTACTATTTGTTAGAAAACATTTAAGCCGGTTATGAAAATTGCTTCTTTTCTTGAAGAATAAATATAACATTCGAACGTAATTTGTATCATTTGATTTGGTCACAACAATTCTTTCACTCGTTGACAAATCGACCCATCTTCTACCTTCCATTTTCCATTGAAACTTATTGCTTAATGTGAAACGTAGTTTTATACATTAAGCTATGGAATAGTAAGTAAGTATATATATGTTTGTTCAGTGATTTTAGAGAAAACCAGAAAAGATAGAGAGTTCGGGTTTTCGGCATTCGATAGGGCATGAAAAACCCTTCAGACGTATTTTTTATTTTCCCCATAAGTGCTCCCCATTTAATTTTTTCATTCATGGACCCTCTTTTTTGGATTCCACTTTGAAAAATATTTCGATTCCACTCACCATTTATTGAGTGGATAACGAATAGATTCGGGTGGAATTACGTTTTTCTGCAACTTTATTGGGTGGATAAAAGATGGAATAAATGAGTTTTTCTCTAGTGTTAATTTGATTACTTTGGATCTAGATGAAACTTGTTGAAAAAAAGTTGGAGACACCCGAAGTACCAAATTGTTTTAGATTCCTTATAAAATTACCTTTCGAATGGTATATAATTTATGCTGTTTTCGGCAGGTTTGATGGCGTTTTACGCTGGCCGTTTGGCCGTAATATGAAAAATTGTGAGAAAAATCGGCTTCCGAATCTTATTGCAAGGAACCTAGTTCTATGATTTTGATAAAACTTTGCCAGATGATAGCTCTTGAAGCCCTCTTTCCAACGGTATATAGCTTATTAGCCAATCGAACTTGTGGATGTGTTTCCCAGGTGGCCGTAGATTGACGCTAGTGATATATCAATGATACTATTGATAGTTCGATATGAATAGCGTGCTATTGGTATATTTTAATATTGTGACAACAACAATTTTTCTCTTCAATATTTTTCCTTCAAATATAGACATCTAAAATATCAATATAGAGCTTCATATTTAATTTTATGTAATTAGTGAAAATATTTTGCAAATTCAACTTTCAAGGGGAAATTTATTGCGGTAAAAATTACATTTTACCATGTGAAAAAAATCCCTCATGTTAAAATGGCATTTTCCTCTGATTACTTTGAATTTTAACATCTGAGTTTTCTGAGAGTAGTCTTTTGGGGTTTACTGCCTATTTGAAGCTCAACTCCATAGGTGGCAACATAGCCAAAATGAGAAAAATATAGGTAAAGTACATTTTCGAGCTTCATTGCAAGCAACCTAGTTCTATGATTTTGATTAAATTTCGCCAGATGATAGCTCCCAAAGTCCTCTTTCTAACGCTATATAGCTTATTAGCCAATCAAACTTGTGAAGAGTTTTGGAATTTCAATTTAATTATGGCATTGACAAAAACCTTAGAGAAAAACGAAATCCATATGATGCATTTATTAGGTAGTTCTGGACGTTCTCATTTCAGTAATTGAATTGAACGATTTCACCATTTATGGATCATCAGCGCAGCTTCTGAGAAAGCTATCTATCTAATTTATAGGATTTACTAACTTTTTGAAGTGGGAGCGCATAGGTAGTCGTTGAGGCAATATGAGCCAAATATTTGTAAAATCAATTTTCAAGGTGTAATTTATTTTAAAAAAATTGTGGCAAAAAATTCAAAATATGAATGTCGAGTAGTTTGTTTTTCTTAGTAGTACGGTTCCACGTTTCACATTAAGCTCTACGGCCAAAAACTGGCAGTGTATTCTTGATTGGAACAAACAATAGTCAAACAGTCTCCGGTTGAAATGATTTATGAAATGTTTCTATGGGTAGTGCAACTTAAAAATGTCGTATTTGTGTCAACTTCTTATGTAAAAAAAACCTGATGAAATAAAAAATCTTATGAAAAATCGAAAAAAAAAATTATGATTGGTGGAAATCCAATAGAAAACACCAATCTGGTGACATTATTTATGATTCATATAAAAAATTGAACAATCAAGTTAAATATCTTATCCGCGATTCAAAAAAAGAAATCTTTACAAAAAATTATGAAGAAGCTAATAACGCAAAAGATAAATGGAATCTAATTCATAAATTCGGCGTCACTAGTGAAGCACGGAAAAATGAAGCAAAAACCGTAATTTTTATCGCAACCTCTTAAAATAATGAGAGGCATCATTCAAGGTGAAAATAACTCACAATTACTTTTTTCAATCTTTATTAATAACATTGGTAATTATATTAAATATTACAATAAGACACTGTTTGCTGATGATGTCCAAATGAATGGGTGAGAATAATAGTGACTTCAATGATTTTACGTCCTGCTCTCTCTTATGAAAATTTCCATAAGATGGAGACGCCTTCAAAAAATAAAAGTCATTATTATTTCGAGCCATTCAAATGTATATTGAGTGTAATGTCAATGACATTTCTGATGGAATTCGTAAAGTCAATGATGATTCAAAAAATATTGAGAAATTTTGTAATGACTATGGTATCGAAATAAATCCAATTAAATCTAAAGCAATAATTATCTCATCCAAAAATAATTTAAATGGGCTAAAATACGATGAACTACCAAAAATATTTATTAATAATCAACATATTGAATATGTTGACAGTGTTCGCGATTTGGGCTATCAATTAAATCGCACCTTAACATCGGAAAATCGTATTAAAATTATTCGGTGCTTTAAACACGATCAGCCCTTCAAAAATGATATTGACGTCAGATATTAAATTGCAATTGATCAAAACACTCGTATTACCAATTTTTGATTACATGGATATTGTCTATCACAATTACGGAATTCATGGTACAAACAATGATAGTGACAAATTGGAAAGGTTGCAAAATATTTGAATAAGATTTGTTTTAAATGTTGATTGTCGAGAGCATATAACATCTCACAGAAATTCATTAAATTTAATGAAATTATATGATCGACGCACGCTACATATCGCAAACATGATTCATAAAATAATTAATAATGATGCACCACCATATCTTAATAATTTAATCAACATCAATACAAATAATACTCGCTCAGAAAGTAAATTAATTGTTAAAAAACCCAATACTAATTTCCAAAAAAACATCATTTTTTATAAATGGACCAACAACTTGGAATAAAATATCTGAAGAAATACGCTCTATTGAATTCAATAATTTTCCATCATGACAACGCTCGGCCTCATATTGCTCAACCGGTTAAAAACTATTTGGAAAATAGTGGATGGGAAGTTTTGCCCCACTTTGACTATCACTTGTTTCGATCGATGCAGAATGCCTTATCTGGAATACGCTTCACTTCAATTGAAGGTATCAAAAATTGGATTGATTCTTTCCTAACCCAAAAAAAAAGACGAGCAGTTCTTTTGGCGCGGAATCCATATGCTGCCAGAAAGATGGGAAAAGGTTATAGGTTCCGATGGCCAATACTTTGAATGACATGCTATTTACAGAACTTATGAAATAAAGTTTTATTTTCACCAAAAAAACGACATTTTTAAGTTGCACTACCAATATTTCGATTTAAATCGGACAAATTTATTTGGTTTGCAATGCCATCGTAATTAATTGGTTTGAAAAAATCTATTATTTTCATGGTCTCCTTGAATTTTAATTTACTTGATTTTTTTTAATGAAATTTCCAGAGAAAGAGACAATTTAATTTATCTATTTGGTTTTGTTCAATTCATTACCACTGAGCACGTCAACTCCATTAAGTGAAATGATGTGATATTAGTGTTTTTATAGCGAATAATATGGTTCAGGTTTGTTACTCGATTTTGATTTTGTATTAGGCATATGAAACCCCTATGCATTAACATTGTATACACAGAAACAAATATCCGAGTACGATTACTCCATAGCTGGGCAGACAGGGGGGAGGGGGGGATTACCCCCTCCTGAGGCATCAAATTTTAGCGTTACCCCTTTACAAAATCAACAAATTTTTGCGTTACCCCTTTACAAAATTCATGATTTTGGATAGAATTTTTCTCATTTTGCTAGGGTTTTTGGATCATAGATGAAATTTTCCTATTTTGCTAGAAGTTTTTGAGAAAATTACCCCCCCAATCCCCCCCTGAATTTTTCAGTCTGCCCAGCTATGGATTACTCGCACTTGCGGTGTTAGCAGAGAGTCTACCCTTCAAAATGAGTTACGCACTCCATTTTACTCTATTTTTGGTATTAATTTCATCCAAGTGAACGCATCATAGTGAAAGAAGAAATACATGTGTAGTCATAGCCGCATGCGTTCAACGTACATATGACTACACAAGAACACATGTATATCTTCTTTCACTACGATGCGTTCACTTGGATGAAATTAACACAAAAAATTGAGTAAAATGGTCAAATTTCATCATCTAAGATGATTCATCTTGCATTGATATCTAGAAAGTATGGATGTACAGTCTTCATACAGTCTTCGGAGAGCTTCTTACATTCAGAATGTCATCTGTATCATGAATGTACTTTGAGAAACAAATATTATGATATCTTTCGATGTTAAAATGTTGAACATTTAAAGGGAAAATCTACTTACAATCACTCCTGCTTTGAAAGGTACTGCAAAATTTGACCAATATTCACACTGATAAACTATTTCACAAGGCTGTTTGGGATCAGCCAAACTCATCGCTCTTTCGTACCTTCAAAGTTTTCGATGCGGTTTATTTTAATATTTTCGAAACAAATAATAATTGCCAAAGAGTTCTTAAGCCTTTTGAACATGTTCTCACATCTTCTCAGCTTTGCAATGGATTTTCATTAATTTAATTACCATTTCCTTGTGAAATTCGTCAAGAAATATTTTTGAATTTCAGAGAACTCGTTACATATGCCAGCTTCTGTTATAGTTGGAGTCAACGTTGCACGTAAGATGTCATTAAATGGGGAGCTTGCTTTCAACTGTAAAATTTGGGAATTGAATTGAATGAATACCAAAACTTCTAAAACACATTAATTTCTAATTAAAATATATGTACATATGTCACGACATCCAACAATTCTTCTCCGCTGAGGTTTTGTAACGATGTCGTATTTTTAAATTCATCGATGATGTGCATGCTGTCTGCCGTTATCGATCCGAGTATTTTCATATCGTAATGATAGTCTTGATAACTTTTTGAATAATAATCGATCGACACATTTGTGGTGTATTTATAGAATGCAGCAATAAAACGTTCATTCTGATAATCTGTACAAATTGTGAGTGCCGGAAGATTATACGACCAGGTGTGATAGTTTGTTTCCAAAGTTAGCACAAAGGGATCGTTTAAAAATCGATCCAATTGTTTGAAGCAAATTGAAAACGCAAAGTAGGCGAAGGAAATGACCAAAAGTAGCCAACTGAATCTACGGCGAAACGTTAAATTTAACTATTTAACGAAAATATTTGAAATTTGAATTTAAACCTTTCGGGTGCAGTATAATTTCTGTTGGCTATATGATTGAAGCCGTGCATATTTGAATCCCGACACAATTTGAATGAAAGGGACTTTTTTCTAAAGCTGAACATTTTCTTGCACTTTGAAAATGGCAAGCTTTTGAAAATCACACAAAACAATTTTGAACACTTCGAGAACACATAAACTGTACACACGAATGGAGTTTTTAACCAAAAATGAAAAATCATTACAAATGTACCAGGATGCATTTCGAAACTTGTTTTAGCGCCGCTGAATAAATCGGAATGTTTCAATATTTCAAATGCAAAGTCACTCTTGAAAATGAATTATAATTTTTAAATGCAACCACGTATATATCCAATTAATAACATTTCGTGCTCGATACATACTAATTGAAAATAGTAATAAATTAATTTTCTTTTTCTCAATTAATTATGTTAGTCAATTTGAATACGTCGTTCATGACGTGAGACGAAGTTATAAATTGTTAATGAGCTAAAAAAATCATAAACTTCAGAATTTCTGCTCTTCAGAATAAGCGATTCAATTCACAATTCGTTTTCATTTCCATGTCATACGTAGTACGTATACATTCTTTTGCCCAACATATTCATACTGAAGAACGAGATCATCACGAAGAACAGTTAACTTACAGTTTTTCACACATTCTTTTTTTTTTCAAAAATCCATTACAATTTTGAATCAATGTCAAAAGAAAAATTCAAAAATTTTACATTTGAATGGATTTTGTACAGTCTTCTCCATTCATAAAAATGCACAAACAGTGAAACATTTCAAAGGCTCTGTTCAATGTGTTATTAAACTCATCCATTTCTAAAACATATGACATATTAAAATTGTGCGCGTGTAATTGCAACTGTTATATCTGTATTCAAAAATTATTGCGAATGTCTTAAAAGGATTTTGTGATGAACTTTTGTTTTGTTTTTCCATATTAGATGTCAATTATGACATATAATAATAAAATAATGCAGGCATAGCATAATAGTATATTTTTTCACATTTTAAATGTTTATGCTTATCTTTAAAAGAAATTATACGAATTTTATTATGTCCAAAAAAAAAAAAAAATTCTCTGAAAAAAGTTCGCGATAATTTGATATTAATAATTTTTATTATGCCCGAGATACAGTTCGCATAATTGAATTGTTGATATTGAATAGACTTCAACTACTTTTGAGTTCTTCTGGCGTCCCGCATTTCGTGTTTATGTTTGTATTTATGGTAAGCGTAAGCTTGTGAATGGAATTCATATTGTTTCACTTTGTGATGCTTATCATCCTTTGTTTGTATATATTCCTTATACTATAAGCATCACACTGGATTTATTATTAGATGTTGATTCTTCGAAATTTATAATCAATTGCCCATTGGATCTCTTCTTCATTATGCTTTACCGGCTATCAATTTGCGCACGTGTTAGTTAATAAAATAAATAGAGTTGTTACATTGTAGCATTAGTTCAGTCGTACCAAAGCATACCGTTCAACATGTCGTTCAATTTTAATAATTATTTTTTAAATTCAAACAATTTTGGTTTTTCATTCAATCCAAATAATTTTCTATACGAATATAGTTCGCCCGTAATTACATTGGGCACCTTACCATTTACCGTTAAAATTTATAAACGATCAACATTGGGTGTAGATATAATTGATGTATATTTAGTGTGTTTACCGGCGATGTGTATGTCAACATCGGAACGGTTTTGTGATGCAGACATGTCAGTTGGAATTTATTCACCTAATTCGTATCAATCATATCAAAGGACAATGAATAAAATCGAATACGACAAAGGCGTTTATCGAAGAGGTGGATTTTCCATAAAATGGACCGATCTAAAGCAATTTGAAAGGAATGACGAAGTGTGTGTCTATATTCATCTAAACCAAAATCAATCCTGGATGCAACCGCCAGCTAACGTACCTGAATCATACACAAACTTCAATTTTTCTGATTTGCAAAATTCAAATTTCAACTCAATTGTGTCTGCCACATTTAAATGTACGGTACCCGCAAATTCCGCATTGAACTCAGTGACCGAAATGTACCAATTGCCAAAACTAGTGCAAAAATTTAAACAAAATATACATAGACGATTTATCTTTGAACTGTGTGTTGAAAAAATCAGTCAAATTATCGAGAATTCAACGCTGGTGCATCAATTGAATTGCAGTAACATGAAATGGAGAGTGATTTTAACAAGGAATAACAATCATTTGGGACTCTTTTTACGGGACGAAAGAGAAAATCGGATGATGAATCACGTTTTAAATGTGAGTTGTTCATTTAAATTGGCATCATGTTTCAATCAAAATTACGGATTTGATAAACATTTTGAGGAAAAGTTTTATAACAACGGCGACACTCATGGGATTTCAAACTTTATAGAGTGGCCGATTGTTATCGATCCGTTGTGCCAATTTCAAAATGATAATAAAATCACAATTAAAATCGATTTACAATTTGTTGGAGAGAGATTGTATATTGATGAGGAACCACATCGATCCACAGTTCAAACACTGGAATGTCCGATTTGTTTGGATAGTATCATCAACCGTCAGCCAGTGTCAACCATATGTGGTCATCTATTCTGTGGTGATTGCATCAATGAATTACAATCTAATCAATGTCCAATTTGCAAAAAACCTGACATTCTCCATAATTTACGAACAATCTACATTTGACTATATAGTTTAGTTAAGTTATTTTTATAGCAGATGACTTCTCTTTATCATTAATTTTATGTAAAAGACTTACCTTTTTTATATTAAAAAAGTATCGATAAATCTATAATTTAAAAAAATGTTTTAATAAATTTCACAATCAATTGTAATTCACTTTGCATTTTTCTTTTCAACACCAAAGTTGGTTTACATTGGTAAACGTTTGTTTTTTCTTACTTGAATGGGTAAGGATAATCATGACCTCCAAACATCCTTTAATGTAAATCGAAGAAAAAAAAATTAATTATTTTTTTTCATATTTTGCGAATTTTTACCATCTAAATAGGAAGGCTTATATGAAACTCTCGGAAACTCGGTATAATGCACAAATGAGTTAAAATAAATGAGATACTAGCCAGAATTGAAAATAAATTTGACACTTGAACGACACTGAAAATAAATGTGATACATACCACTTTTATTTTCAATATTTTTCAAGTATCAGATTTATTTTAAACGCGAGTTAGTATCTCATTTATTTTTATTCACCGTCTTGTATTGGTATTTTTTTAAAGAATGTTTGGAGGTCATGATTATCCTTACCCAGTGTTTCATATATCGCTATCAGTTATCCGTAAGATAACTGAGAGGGATATATTCAGCCAGATATGACACTGTCTAAATTAGACACTGGAGATGGTAAGCGTGTCTAATGCAATTTTGACACTCATATCTGGCTGAATATATCCCTCTCAGTTATCTTACGGATACTGATAGCGATATATGAAACACTGTCCTTACCCATTGGATAAGAGATATTTCAAATTCGTATGTATATTCAAATGGTCCTCTGAAATATGAACAATTTTATATAATCGGTATGATTGAATATTTTTTTTTCACACTTTTTATTTATTATTAAAAGGTATATATTTTTTCATTTAAATTGAATTGAATAACTTTTTACTTGTTAATAAATCGAATAATTTTATGGTTTTTTAACTTAACGGATGAGAATTCTTATCGGACTACCGATTTTACATATCAATCTTCAATTATCGAATTCATCAAATAAAAATATGTATTCGCGTGTTTATTTCATGACATTTATTTTATATGGCAAGCATATGAGTTGTTTCGTGAATATTATAAAGGCAAGCATGAATATCTTCATGGCTTGATTTCAAAATGAATATATTTCGTCGCTAAATTGAAAATATATTTTGTTAACTGGTTTTTAAATTTCGGCGAATGAAATTTAAATATTTTTCTACTTTTATTGTATCATTCTGGCTTTTTGAATAAGTGATTGATTTTAGTGTAAACACGTGTATCAAATAGCCTTGTTTAAAGCGGTTAGTATTTAAAAAAAAGTCGATGATGTTATACCTAGTAGATGATATTCTCCGAAGATCTCAAAATATGCAAAAGACAAAAATTACATACATCTTGGCGTAACATGAACAGTTTTATGTGTTCTCTTTTATCTTTAATATCTAGCCATAGCCATTATTTATTATTATTATTATTATTCTTTATTTGTTAGCAACTTTGCTACTCATTTTTCAAATTATACATTATATTTCTACATTATTTTTTATCCATATTTTCATTTTTAAGTTAAATCTATTTTGATTTTCTTCTCTTATTTCTATTGGAAGATTATTGTACATTTTGAAACCCTTATGAATTAGTGATGCTTTTGATATGTCTTTCTTATAATTTATAATTGCTAGATCATTTTTGTTTCTTAGATTATATCTATGATTCTCTGTATTTCTGTTTATTAATTCGTTCAAATAGTTTGGCGTTGTGCCTAAGCACATTTGATGTATAAGTGAGAGTGTCCTAATTGTTATTTTTTTGTCTCACACTCACCCAATTTAATGTTTGTAGCATTAGTTTTATACTCGTTCTCTTGTGTACTTTCATCACCGCTCTCATAGCCCTATTTTGTACCTTTTGCATTCTATAAATTTGACCATCACTAAGCATAAACAAAATCGACGGGCAGAATTCAAAGTGTGGGGCAATTATGGTCTTATATATGCATATTCTTTCCTCTGTATTTATTTTGTTTTTAATTCTGTTTAGAAGACCCACTTTTGAGCTGGATTTTTTACAAATATAATCGACATGTTTGTTAAAATTTAATTCTTCGTCTATGATTAAACCCAGGTATTTTATCTCTCCCACGCATTCAATACACTCTCTTTCTATAGTGAGATTAATTTCGTCTTTGTTTATGTTTTTCTTCTTGTTACTTATGATCATACATTTGGTTTTTTTTGTATTCAGTTTTAATTTATTCTCTCTAAAATATTCGTTCAAACTATTTAGAATAATGTTCATTTGATCATTTATTGATTTTATATCATCTCCAACAATGTGAATTTCAGTGTCATCCGCAAAAAGATTTATTTTTGCATTTTGATAATTTTTCACTAACTTGCAAATATCGTTTATGTAAATTGAGAATAGAATACTTGCTAGAATTGATCCCTGTGGTACTCCAATATTGTTTTCTTGTTTTGTGGAGTGGTAATTTTCAATTTTAGTTACTTGAGTTCTATTACTTAGATAACTTTCGAACCATTTATATTCATGTCCTTTAATACCAATATTTTGTAGTTTTAACATCATTTTTTTTCTATCAATAGTTTCAAATGCTCTCTTTAAGTCTAAAAACAGGCATAATATTATTTTTCCATTCTCTAGACTATTTTTCCATTCATTTATTACTTTATTTAACGATGTTTCACACGAGTGGTTTTTTCTAAAACCTGATTGTTCGGGTGCTAGTATGTTGTTTTGGTTTATGTATTCATCAAGTTGATTTTTGGCTATGATTTCAATTACTTTCTCACACGTTGGCAGCTGGTTTATTGGCCTAAAATCTTCGATATTTATGGACCCACATATCTTTTCGACTGGTGATATTATTGAGCATTTCCAATCAGGAAAAACTCCCAATTTGAATGACTGATTTATGATTATGCAGAATTCCTCAGCGAATATTTCAATTCCATCGATCATTATATTCGGTTTTAGCCAGTCAATATCACTTTTACTCTTTATGTTTTGTAGTGCATTTTTAATGTCTGTTTTGTTTATTTCATTGAATTTAAAAATTGATTGATATTCATCTTGCTCGTTTATAAAATTTATATTTGGTTTTTCAATAGATTTATTTATATCCTCAATGCTTTTTATGAAATATTTGTTCATCTCTTCTGCGATTATTTGTTTATTATTTATCACTCTGTCTTCGATTTTAATTGATTTAATGTCATTTTTATTGTTATTTCCCATTATTTCTTTTAAGGTTTTCCACATTTTCTTTTGATCACCTTTATTTTCACGTATTGAGTTTTTATAATACTCATTTTCGGCTTTTCTGATTTCACTGCCATATAGGTTTCTTGCAAGTTTATACTGATCCCAATCGCTTTGTTCATTTGTGAATTGTGCTCTTTTATAGATAATATTTCTTGAATTTTTTAATTCTTCTAGTTCTTGATTGAACCATTTGCATCTTACGTTTAGTGGTATCTTTATTTGTGTCACAAATTTTCTTATTGTTATTTTTAGGTTTTCCATGAACACATTTGCTCTCTCTATTACTCCCATTTCTTTGTTTTGTAACCACACAGTTTTCATCAGTTCATTTACGAAGTCACTGCTATTATATTTTTTAATACTCTCTATAGTTTTAAATGATTTACTTGGCTTTTTGTTTGGAATATTCATTATAATACACTCATGGTCACTTATATTTAAATCAGAGTTTATATGAGCACTGAGCGCTTTGTAATTTGTCATGCAATAGTCTATTATCGTTTTTGAGTTGATAGTTATTCTCGTTGGTTGTGATATGATTTGTTTTAGGCCCGTATCATTGATTCCTTGATAGAGCTTTCTTTTTATTGGGTTTTCAATCGACCAGTCAATATTGAAATCGCCACATATTATCATATTTTTTAGAATATCCATTTCGTCATTACACCATTTGATAAACTCCTCCACAAATTCGTTATCGTTACTGCTTGGTGAGTGATATACCACAGCAATTGTTCCTTCAAAACTTTGAGTTTTTATTGACATTGATAAAATCCAAAAGTTTGTTTCATAACATATTCTATTTATATTTTTCACTATCACGTCATTTCTTACATATATTGCTACACCTCCTGTATGTCTTGAGAATGAATTTGTTCTATAGATATTATAATTTTTTATGTTTAATCCAGAGTCGCTTATATCTTCTGTTAAGCGTGCTTCCGATAGGAGTATAATTTGCGGTTTTATTTTTTCTACATTTATTTTTATTTTGTTTAAATTGGCATAAAGACTCTGTGCGTTAAAATACATCCATTCATTCATTCTTTGCTATTCGTTTCTCACACTTCTCTCTTTCACTCTTATCTGCTCAATTTTTCGCGTTAGGATTTCACACTTTTTGCTCCAAGCATTATGTTTTGTGTCGAGACCAAGGTTCATTTTTTTGTTTGCTTCCGTACAGTTTATACAACCAATTGTTTCTGATTGGCACTCGTTTGATAGATGGTTTCCACTGCAATAGCCACATCTTTCATCTATTGAACATTGGTCCTTTGTATGACCAAAACCAACACATTTATGGCAACGCATTATACTGAAATGCTCCTTAACTATGCATCTATCCCAATTTATATTGACTTTTTTTGTCTGCATTAATTTTCCGTAATTTTCATAGTCAATTTGTATTATCGCATCAAATGTTTTGCTATTTTTGTGATCTCTTGTAATTTTTATCACGGTAATGTTGGCATTGTATAGCATTTCATTTTGACTCTTTATTCTCTCTATTAGTTCATTATTTTCTGGTTTCTCGCTCATTCCAATTATTTTCACTTTTGGGTTCGCTTGCTTGATTTCTCTTACGCTATATTCATCACCAAGTGCATTACCTATTCGTTCAACTAGGTCTATAAACTTACTGTCGTCTTCGCATTCAATGATGACAGTCCCGTTTCTGTGTTTGATAACATTCTTAAAACTCACAGTTTGTACGTCTATTTTCTCATTCATTCTTGCTATTGTATGTTGAATATTGTTGTCTGTTTTTGGTTTAATAAGTAATCTTTTTGTTTCATTTATATCTCCCTCCTTATTCACTTTTTTTTCCCCATTGGAATGTGCTCCGTTATGTGTGGGTACTTTGTTGTTGTCGCTAACGCTGAGACGCTCACTCGCTACTCCACGTGTTTTCGTAGTTGTTGTTTTTTTTGTAATTGATTTCGGTGTGTCGGTGCTCTCATTACTTCTCGTTATTGATATATTCGTTTGTTTTTCGGCAGCTCTTTTCGTTGCATTTATTGCATTTGTTTTTGATGTTGATTGTTTCTCTCTCATTGCCACCGGTGTATTTGCCTTTTGATGTATTCTCGCATTTGTATATCTCATGTCATTTGTATTACGTTCACTTGGTGTAGTGAGAGAAATGTTTGATATTGCTCTGCCTTTTTCTCTTTCTTTCTTTCTATCTGCATCTTCTCCTTTCATGTATTCACTGATTTTTTTCACTTCTGCTTTTAATTCGCTTTGCTCTTTCTCGCTCTTTTTTGTTCTATCGTTGATTTCATATATGAATTTAAATAGACCATCAATTTTGTTATTTATTGTCTTCATACTGAATCTTTCGCATGTATCACATATGTAGTGAATATTATCGTTTTTTTCCAAGATAACTATTGCACTGTTCTCTAGGTGTGTACAATCAATATGTATCTTTTTGCCACATGCTCCATTACACCTTATCGTTTTCTCTCTTTTACCAATTTCGTTCATACATGACAGACACATTTCTGTGCTATCCATTTTTCTGTTTTTTTTTTTGGTTTCTCTCGATGTTTTTTTAAACTGATTTGTATATTCTGCTCAGATATTATTTAACTAAACTTCATATGCTACTTATGTAGTTTTATTTTCTATTTAATTTGATTATATTTTCGTATTTAGTAATAATTATCGGAAGAATGTCAATATCACTACAATGCTGCTTCGACACGTTGATTAAGATTTTTTGAAAACAAAAAAACCACAACTTCGTTTCGCTTTATTTCACAATATCGATTGGGGAGCACATTTTAATTATTTGCTTTTCTTGTTCATAATCTTTTTTTTTGTTGACCTTTTAATCCTGTGTGCCATTTTAATTCGGGGAAACACGTTCCTATTATTGGTGTTTTGTTGATTAATTCAACATTGTTAGAAAAATTATCGCTCTAAGTCTCCCATACGGATATTCCAAGTTGTAAATAGAAATTACGTTTGACGATTAATCAAATTAAAACTATGCTACATATTTCCATTGATTGACTGATTTGGCTTAATGAATATAGATTTTGTTCCAGATGTCTTTAAAGAAGATTAAATTAGACTTATTAATTTTTCGCCTCTTTTGCATTGCTCAATGTTGTTCGCAAAGTTATTTTCACTGCAAGAGATTTCAAATCATCAATCAGTATCTCACAGATATGACACGACTTGTTTGTATATGTTACACATTTTTTTTCATTCGTGCACAAACATTTTTTACAATTCAGCAATTTTCCCATACAAAATATTTGCTCCAAAGACCAAATTATCATGTTTATTTATGCCGGTCACTTTTTCGAAAACCATGGCGTGAATAGATGCATATTTTATATTTTTGATTAGGAACAGAGGCCGACAACACGAAAAAAAATCAGGATTTAGTGATGTTTGATGAAAAAAAATGGTTTAATTTTATTTTGAAATTTTGCCCGATGGATGTTTATAGGGTTGAATTGATTCAACCATATTCCAGAGAAAGTATGTAATTTTTAATTAAATATTTCTTTTTTATTTTTTTTTGTTATTTCAAAAGAAATTTATTGAAAAACGATCCATCGTTACCAATTTATGATCCGCCTAGAAACTGTGTGAGCTGAAATTAAAGAAAAAAATTCCAACACTGAGAAGTAAAAAAAGACATGATAAAATTGTGGTTGTTTAGTTTTATTTGAAACATGTTTCTGTTAAAATTCAAGTTCTATTGTATTTTGCTGATTTAAAACCTGATACAATGGTGCAAAAAGGTATTAAACAACCTTATAACGTGCGCAAATTCAAGCTTTTTTCTTCATACCAAAAAAAATAAATCTATGATATTAAACCTAGCAAATGATGCAACATAAAGTTAATAATGATCTCATAGCAATGAAATGTCAAATTCACAAAATATTCCTAATTAAAGATTCATCAAACTAAGTCTAATAAATAAATGTATCTTATTAACTTTTCTACTTGTTTGTTGTTTGTTGAACTTAACGAACTAATCTTACATAAAGTATAAAACCAAAAATGAATATCAATAATGTGATGAATGATTTCTTAAATTACATTAGATAGTTATGACAGTTAGGCCAATGTGGGAAATAGTTCGGAAAATGAATCTTGCGGCCAGTAATTATTATTGTTACTATTATTAAAGTATACATAATCATCGTCAATTGACCATGATGATGACAGTTTGGTCGCCGGCGGTGAATTGATGACCGAATCATATGCACTGTCGTGATCTGAACCAGCGGTCGGATCATCGATACTGCTGTTGTGACTATAGCCACCGGGTGATGCATAGTTTATCGATGGTATTGGCGATAAGACCGATACGTGTGACATAATTTCATCATCATCCTCATCCTCGTTCTGTGGAACTTCTTCAATCACCTCTTCGAAATTGCTGATATCTTCATCTGGTAGAATGATGGTGATTTGATTCCCTTCATCGTCGTATGTTGTGGTTTCATACAATGTGTCATATTCGTCCGTTATAGTGACATTGTTATCATTCTGGTATAATATCATAGATTTATCTGTCGTGTCATTTGTGTGACTTGTTGTTGTTGTTGTGGTGTTGGTGTTGTTGCTACTGTTATGATTGATGTTGTCAAACATTTCCTCACTGTGATTGAATTGTGTGTGATCAAAATGCATATGTTGTATTGATTGTAATTGATTTTCGGGTGCGATTGGTGCTGTTGGTACGTACAATTGATCATCATCGGATGTCATGCTATCAATGATTTCCTGTTTGATTGTACGAACCATTGATGGTTTATGGATGGGAGTATTTAAGCTTCCATGGGTATCTTCGCTGGATTCCATGTTTTCTGTTTGGGTCCCCACCATTGATCTAAACATTGACTTTGGTTCGCCTTCAATTTGGGCAATTCGGTGGCCGCCTTTTGTAACATCATTTTCAAACTCTGTTGAGACATCTGCGAATAAACTTTCGGCAAGCTCTTCCAATCCACTGGCATCGAAATCTTCGATATCCCCGAACAAGTCCGGTAGAGAAGACATAGAGCAATAATCTTCCACAGAGCAGCTTGGTCGGAGTTGCTTTTCAAATTCACGGGCATTTCGTCCATCGACGTTGCACGTTGATTGATTCGACTGCTGCTGCTGGTTGTTGCTCTCTTGCTTAATTCGAACGGTTGCGATTGATGGGCTGGCGGTGGTGTCGACGGCGGTGTCAATGTCTGTTGTTGATGGTGCTGTTGCTGTTGTTGGTGTTGAGTCGCTGTCATATAATTGTTGCATGTGTTGTCTGATCGTCGCATCGACTGTGGTTTTATTTGAGATCCCTTCGGCAGAGGGTAGGCGGATACAGCAGATCCATTATTATTCATAATACCACAGCCAATCCAACGATCGCTCAACGGTGGCGAATCATATGTGGACTCAATTTTTATATTTGATTGATGATGTTTGTGTGACAATTTAGCAGCAGCAGATTCATCAATATCAAATTGATGGCCTTGCAAATCGTTTAAGCATCGCTCCAATTCAATGGTACGCTTCAGTAATTCCTCTTTGTCAGCAGTTAAACGTTCAGTTTGCTCTTTTAATTTAACATTTTCGTCTCTTAATCGCTTCACAGTCTGATCCATTTCATCCATTTTGGCCTTTTTTCGATCGCGTGATGTTTGTGCGGCAACGCGATTCTTTAATTTTCTGTAGATTACAAAAAAAAACGAGAAAAAAGAAGGAAAACCGTTTCAATTAATAATGCGTCATCACAATGGGGTCGAGACTTGAATATTTAATTCAAAAACACATAAAGATATAAAGTAAACATATGTCAAGCTTCCCATACTTTGTTTACACAGCCCTCATTTCATTTGCTCTATTTTTATTCTGTTATCGTTATCGTTCTCAATTCACACACGAAACTCCACATTTTGACTCAACATTTCATTTTAAGTACGATTCTTTTCTGCGCACAATTGAATCACAAATTGAATTTTTTCACAATGATTTTTTATTTCGAAATCAAGTGAAATGTTGACAACAACTGATCGTGTTTACGTGTAAATTTCATATAAATATTTCACATGCACAAATGAAAACGAGACGAAAAAAAATTGAAAAAAAAAAAAAATTACTTACTTTCTTTGTAATTTTTCTTCCCATGTCAAATGATCCAATCGACGTTTTTTGCCGCAACCAATGAAACTTTCGATTGGATCCGCCGAAATCGGCAGTCCATTCTTATTTGGAATGGATACGTATTTCGGCAATGCCATTAAAACATTTGCACTCATATTTTCTTTGCTTTAAACGATGAAATTTCAAATCGATGAAAAATCGCCTCTTAAAGATGCGTAAATATTCTTTTTTTTCTTTTATATCGAAATCACGAAACAACAAAAAAAAATCCGCGAAATTCAACTGCTTGTTGTTAAAAAATAAAATAAAATTTAGTCACTCATAGTATCGAAATTGGTTAAAAACTTGTCACTGATTTCAAAGGTCAGTTAATGTTTTCGGAATGAAGAAAAAAAATATTAATTTGAAACGAAATCAAAACACGTCCGATTTGTTTGAGTTATCCTGTTTGAATGACCATTGTTCCTCGATGGTATGATTGAAGACTTCTTCTTTACTTTTTTTGTGGTAAATGTTCTTCTTCAAATATACAGCTAAACGAATTTTGTATGTCTCATTTTTGCGTTTTACTATTTTGAACTAAGGCCAACCAAGCAATGAAATGAACGTGTACCGTACGTTCTCGAAACAGTGATGCGCATGTATTGGTGCATTGGACGTCATTGAGTAAGATTGTGTGCGTCACACTATGGACTGTTTTCAATAGTTTTGTTGTTGTATGTCAAAATACATGTGATGATTTGAATAGCGTACGTATAAGTGTGAGAATTATGTGGTCTACGCTGATTGGTTGTGGCGCATTTCTAGATTGATATGGTAACTGAGTGATGCAAAACAAATCGTGTTTTTGTTCACATTGTTGTTGTGCTCGTTCCATGTTGTACACAAGTGGCATTACAAATAGATTGAATTGAATATGAATTTCACAATTTAGTTTAGTTGTTTCTTCGTTATTTTTGATGTATGACATGCGAGGTGCGCGCTCGCGTCATTTGGCTTATTTCCCATCGTATGATTTTATAGTTTGTATCTATTCTCTCTCTCTCTTCCTCTCTTTATAATTTCCTCTATATCTATTTCACCGGTGTGTCTTTTATTTGAAAAATGCATGAGAATATAAACGGCTGATGAAATATCATACGATATTTGTGTAATGTATGGGTCAATTAAGTACAAGAAAGGAAAAATCAAAACAATCAACGCCAACAATGCCTGTTCCATATCAAACCAACCCAACTACTTGGACACACACTAAACCTCTTTTTGGACTGTAATTGCAGTTTTTTTGAATCCCATTACATACGCATTCAAAATTCATAACTTTCTGCATTGAAGATTTCGCCGAATATATTCGAAACAATATTTCATTCGTTGGATATTATGACGGCAAATCTATTGTGACGAACAATAACAAAGTACAGCACACACGAAAAAAACTACGCCGAATTCCTCGAATCTACTCATTATCTCATCAAATATTTATTTTCTTCTATTGAATACGACACATAAATGTGTGCTTTTCATATCTGAATTCAGCAAGAGGGACAAAAAAATATAATCACAAATTACATTGTTGACTCGAAACTTTGAAATCTTTTTCCATGAATTTACAATTGGCAGACTTTTCATTTTTCGAACACCATATTCCAATCAATTGTTTCTCGTTTTGTTTCCCTTTATACCAATGGTACATGCAATCGAATAGATAAATGCCGAAATAGTATACATTGTTTGTAATTGAATTTGATACATAGACCCGATGATAAAGGGACATGGATAGAGAACATTAAATAGAATTTTTTATCAAACTGCTGTATGTGTATCTTATGAAATATTCGGATTCCCCATCACGGATAAATTTAATATATGGTTGCTCGATTTAATAAAAGCGACAAATCTAATCGATTCAATCATTTTCATTTGTTCGGGCTCAATATTTGCATTTGTTCCAATTTTTTTTAAATATTTGATCGATGCATAAATGGAAAAATAACTATAGCTATTTATGGCGGTCATTTTTTTCAATGAATAACGTAACGATTGGATTGTGATTTTGAGATTTCGAGAATTTTTAACAAAATTATTCGAATTTTTAGAAATTGTTTAAAGAGATAAGCTATTGACCCAATCGTAAACATAACCATTCGCAAATTAGAAGAAATTTATTCATTCGATTCTCCCAATTTCTTTCACTTTTCCTCGAACTAGATTGTCTTGCGAACTTTAAAAGTAAGGCTCATTTATAAGCTTTATAAATACTGATTATGTTGAAAAAACGAAACATTATCATAATAAACTCTCGGTCGGTCATATCTCGACAATTTTATTATAATAACAATGTAATGGGTCCATATTTTTTTTGTTCCAGTTTCAATTCAATAAAAGAAAGTTTAAATTCGAAGAATGATCAAAAGGCCTTTTTTACAAATAAATCTTGAGAAGTAAGGGAGTAAAAAATAATGCAATCACAATGTTGTATTTGTTGTATTTTGTATTTATTTTGAATTTTCAATAAATCAATATCTCAACAATAGGTTTAATATAAAAGAAAAACTATGAAAAATACATGACATGCGATGCGACCGACATAAATTCTGTACATTAAATAATTAATTAATGGGGTCTGCCATAATGACTATTAACTTTGTCTCTCTTTTTTTATGTCCATCGATTGGTTATTGTTGTTGTTACACCATTTGTGCATACACGATAAAAAAGAGTAACATTTTTTTCTCTCTCTGCCCTCTTCTTCTCTTCTAATGAGCAATATTGCAAGTGTGTTGCATTAACTAATGTCTCCAAGCTTGATGGTTCGAATTTAAAATGTACGTCTTTTATTTGAAGTATTGATTTTTAGCCACATAATGTGTCCTCTTTTATTTTAAATAAATATTTTTCCAGAATTATCTTTTTCTCTTGTGAATGCCAAATGTGGTATTGGTAAATTTAATCGATTTGTAGTTTTGCCATCATCATTAAAACATACATGGTATTGGTGAGAAAAATAGTATGACTTCAACCTAATTTTTTATCCACGACTATATTTAAAATATAAATAAATTAGTAGATGATATTGTTGATGAATACAATGTATGGGTTTGTATGTGTTTTTGAGATATTTTGTTCATAATTTCCTCGGTCATTTATTTATATGAATCCATATAATTTACATGTGAATTTTGTTATTGACTATTTTCGAATTGGACTGAAAGTAAAATTAATGTAAATTATAGTTTCATATCAAGTGACATATTTGTTATATGAAACATAGCCGATTAAGAGACAATGTCAACCAGCCTACTAATTTTCGACATTTTTTTTTTAACTTGAACTACAATTAATCGTAGTTATCTAAAACGAAAGCTATTTATACAGGATTATCAACGTTGGCCAGTCAATTTTGTTCGAAATGACTGGATGTTATTCAAAACGAGATTGGTCATTATGTTGAATCTGAACCGTTGATTTGTAAAGTATATTGGTTGGATCGATTTGTTTTTAGTTTGAATCGATGCTGTTGTGCTCTTTGAAGGATTGGCGTTTTAGTTGGAATTTCTGTCGTTGATGTAGTCGTTGTCAAATCGGTTGTTTTTTCAATTTTCGACCAACCACTACCTCGTTGTCTTGTTGCAAACAACTTTTTACGCTTTTCTAACGATGCTTGTGCATTGTTTTCCTTATGTTGAAATCGTTCATTTGTTGGGGTAATTGTTGTTTTTGCTGCGTAGCCAACTGTCGATGACTCATTTTTTGAGGGTTTGGTTGGCAATTTTCGTCTATTATAATAACGTTGACGAGCCGTTGTACTTTCGACAAGCAATTCTGTTGCGGCTGTTGCTGTCGTTGGTGTTGTTGTTATCGTCGTCGTTGTTGTTGTCGTTTTAAATTTATTCGAATTCGAAGCAGGTAAACGTCGACTATATTTTCGTTTTGATTTATCAATTTGAGTGGTTGTTTCTAATTTTTCAGTTGTTGTCACCGGAATCGATTCATTTAATGATGTTTTTGCCAAATTACTTCGATATGAACCAAAGGTTGGTTTATGCAATCCCATGCTATGCTCAATAAGTTCACGCCATGATGTTGTTCGTTTGAATGTTGGTCGCTTATTGGCAGACTGTTTTATTATTGATGATAATGACGAATACACTGCCATAATTGTACCTTCATGTTGTTCATGCATCAGCTTATTAGTTTCGGGGTTATTTGGTTTTAGCGCCTTAACTTCTGTGGCGTTAACACTTTTTCTGGAAATTTCTTCGGATGATGAATTTTTATTCGCTTGATTTTTGCGATAAGTATCCAATTTATCTTTGAACGATGGAATCAACCGAGGAGTACTAGATGGTACAATTGGTTCAGAAGTAATTGAAGAACTTGTACGTTGGATACTTGAGTTGTGGCGCTTATTACCTGAGACGTCGGTTTGTTCACCTGCCTCGGTTATTGAAAGTATTTCTGGAACAATTTCATCTGCAGTAACAACAGTCGTTGTAATCACATTAGCTTCTGTCGCATTGTCGATGGTCATTAATTCAGTCATCAGCGCTAATGGTTTTAATTCATTTGGTTTACTACTTAAAGGTGGCATGGTTGTGGTTTCGAAGACGTCCATTTTCTCGAATGAATTTTCTGTCGTTTCATTTTCCATCAACTTTTCTGTACTCGTCATAATTTCTGTAACGTTTTCAGCTGCAGCCAAATTTTCAGTGATAATTTCATTGTTCGCCAATTTTTGAGTGGTCGTTTCAATTTCGATCAAGTTTTCTGTTATCGTTTCATTTTCGTCAATATTTTTGATTTCCTCATTTTCAATGGATTTTTCCGTTGTTAAACTTTCAACAGCAACTTCCGTAGTTACGTTTTCAGGAGCTATCTCGGTGACCAATATTTCAGAAACGGCTTCTATGGGTGAGATTTCAGAAGGTGTTCCGGTAGTCACAGTTTCTGAAGCTGCTTCGGTGCTCTCGGTGGCCGCTTCTGTAAATGAAATTTCAGTGGCAGCTTGAGTAGATAAAATTTCAGAAACAGTGGTTGGATTTTCTGTCAATTCTTTGGCGTTTATTTCCGTTTCGTCTAATTTGCTGGATTTTGGTTCGATGAAGTTCAAATCAATTGGTGGAAATTCAGTTGTTTCTTCAGTAATTTGTGATAGATCAGTATCTCTTGTCGTTGTTTCAACTTCAAATGCAATTGGTTCGATGAAATGTGATGGTTCCGTTTTTAATTCAATTTCAATGGGTTCAACAGATGTGTCCGTGTTTTGATCGGTAACTTCTTCTGTACCATTTTCAACTTCACTTGATTCAACTTCGACGGGTTTTTCAGTAGTTAAAGCGTCACTGCCATGCATTTTAATCGATTTCAATGGTTCATAGTGGCTAGGAGCTGACATTGCATACACTAACATGACTGGTGCCATATCAATAATCGTTCGATACGTTGGATTTACCTCTTCCATATTTGCGTTTGAATAAATGTCTAAAATGTCGTTCATTTGTTGAGAATTCATTGGTGTCATTGCGGTTGCAATCAATTCACTTGAATTGGTTGTCAATTCAAGATTGTCATTAGTCAACGGTGACATAGTTGTAGTGTGATCTGGCGCCATCGGGTCAGCTTCTCCTTCTTCTTCAATTACTGTCATCTTTGTCGTTATTTTATTTTCACCAACAACACGTTCGATCGATACCCCACAACAACGTACATAATTTTCTTGTGCACAGGTCAGGACTACACCCAGATAAATTTCATCCTGATGAAATGACACGAGATTAATACAAATCGAAAGTGAATACACTAATTTCCAAATTAAAATTTGTCTATACTTACGACTGGTGATGAGCCAAGGGTGCGTGGGCAAATATGTCGCGGTAAACATGGGCACGATTTATTGACTTCGGATAGAATAACATCCGAATTTACGCGACAGTTTTGCAGCGACAACAACAATAGTGCTGCCCAAATAATAAGAGATTTACTCGTTCTAAACATTTTTGCACATTATTTTTTTTTAAATTCAATCAGAAGAAAAACCGTTATGGGAATACAGTAATTTATTTATTTTAACTTTATTTAAAATAGCATCGAACTGCACTGGCTTTGACTTTACTCGAAAGAGTTCACCTTCGAAATAAATCCAAATGAAAATATTTGATCGGTTATAGCATTGAAGTTTCAATATTTTCAGCCAAATGAAAGAAGGAGAGGCAATAAAATGTAAGTAATATAACGACGTTTAAATTTAGGTAGAAAAAAACATTAGTCAGACTAATTTCGAATCATTTTATAATTGAATAGGAATATATAAGAAGAGACGGAAACCGAACAAAACAGTGACATCGTCAACATTTTTTCAAAAAAAAAAAAACAAGAAAAACCGCACCAAAAATGCCGTTCATAATCATTAAATGAAAAATCTAATTATCAAGTACAACTGAGGTTAAACGAGGCAATCTAGTTTTGTAAACGTACACATTTTCTGTGACTAATAATATTTTATCTAATAATTTGATAGCCTTTTAACAAATGTTAATTCTTCTGCAAATTAATCGATTAACTTTTATGTAATTACATTTTGGGGAAATCTAAAATACATTAGAAAAATGTATTCACTTTCAAATGAAAAAAATGGTTTAATTTAAAGAAAAAACGCACTCATTTATCGATAAGTAATATTGTATATTTAAAAAATTGTTTTATGTTAAAATAACAAGATATTGTGGGGCGGTTTTCATTCGTTCAATTTAAAAGAAAAAAAAAACAAATGTACGAAGAAGCAATATTGATTTCATTTCAAAAAATGTTCGCCAATTTGTTGTTTTAGACTTTCTTAACAATTTGAACAACATCTTCATCATTCAAAATATGGTCGATTCCTACTTTTTGCGGTTGATGTTTCACTGATGATCCCCACACAAGAGCACTGAATTATAAAATAGATAAAAAAAGTTATAAATTGAATATAAATTTGAAATTTTTGTAATTGAAAAAATTTGGGAAAGTACAACATTCTTACGTTTTTATTACTTTTGTAATAAAAATTTATTTGGGAAAAAACTTTTTGAATTGAATGAAAAAAGTTAGAAGCCGAAAAATATTCTCTATCGATAAATTGTTCGGAACTTCCAAAACTGATGTTAAAATATATTTTTTGGAAATTCGAATAGAAGACATACAATCTTTTTTACAATTTGCTCAAAACTGTTAAAAAAATTCGTCTTTTCGAAATCATTCATTTTCCAACTGAATTTTTAAATATCCAATGCATCGAATTTCCAAATTTTGGATATATTTCAAACTTTTTATCAAACAGAGTTGTTATGATGAAAAAAAAGAATCGAAAGGATACTAACTATTTAAATTCTCTTGCAATGGTGCGATGAAGTTTGTTACAGAAGTCCTCAATCGAAGTGCGTTCACAATGCAGTACAACTGGTGAATTGTAGTCGGGCAATTGACCTTTCGGTTTCGTATAGCTAAAAGATAAAATTATTTTAAAAAACATGTATTGCGAAATATTTGTAAATATTTTTTCATTAGGAATAAATGTAGTGTGTGCTCAATATCATAAGATATATTTAATTTGAGCAACAAAAAATTGTGAAAAGAGCAACAAAGACGAGATCCAGGTAAAAAGAAATTGAAATAAAAAAAAATTCACTTACATTCGCACCAATTTCAAGTATCTCCACATGAGGTCGAGTAAATCGTCAAAGTTCCAACGATGATGAGCCGAAATGGGTACACAATGCGGTATTTTATAAATAACGTCCAACTCTTCGATGCTGATTTGATCGATTTTATTGAGTAGATAAATACATGGAATATAAATTCGATTTCCTTCAATAACATCGATTAAATCGTCCGAAGTGGCATCGTATTTCAGCGTAATATCAGCATTATGAATTTTATATTCAGATAAAATGGTTTTTACGGTATCATTATCGAGTTCACTTTGCGGCACCATGCAATTCAAATTAATGCCACCTTTCTCTTTTTTACGATATGAAATATTCGGTGGGCTTTGATTTAATCGAATACCAAAACCTTCCAATTCATGTTCCAATAGTTTTTTATGATGTAACGGTTTTAGCACATCCAAAACCATAAAGATTAAATTACATGTACGAGCGACAGCAATAACTTGACGACCACGACCTTTACCATCCTTAGCGCCTTCAATGATACCGGGCAAATCGAGCAATTGAATTTTAGCGCCTTTGTATTTTATGCAGCCAGGCACAGTGGTCAACGTTGTAAACTCATATGCGGCCACCTCCGAATAAACACCGGCCAAATTGGATAGTAACGTTGACTTCCCGACCGACGGAAAACCGACAAAACCAACACGAGCATCACCCGTTTTTGCAACTTCGAATCCTTGTTCCGATGCACCGCCACCGCCTTTCGGTGTGATCAATTCACGGCGCAATTTTGCCAAACGTGCTTTCAACAAACCCAAATGGCCAGCCGTTGCCTTGTTCTTTTGCGTTCGAGCCATCTAAAATGTAATTTTGCAAGAGGAAAAAATTCCCATTTTTTAACCGAAATCATTCTAGAATATTAACCGGGTAGCATAATTTCAATGTTGCTGGCATAACCTAAAAAAAATTCATTTGCACACATCAGCAAATCAAGTTTTGTTTACCTCAGACTCGATCGTCGCAATTTTCTCCAAAATCGTACTCATTTTTTCGCACCACTTGAATCAATAACAACAGAAGATTTAAATCGATTTCGTTTTTTTAACACACAAGTTTTTTTTTTCTTAGCCAATTTGTGCACAACAGCTAAATTCCGATGTGTATTTTTTTTGGTGGTCTATGTATCGCGTGGAAACTCAAAACACAGCGCCGAAATGTCAAACTGAATGACAGCACGAATGAAATGAATGCGTTTAATGACAATGAATAGAATGAAAATCGAATTTGAATTTTTGGATGTTGAATTTAACATTTTTAATTTATCTGTTGTGATTTATTGGAAAAAAAGTGAAAGAAATAATACGAAGTTGGATTTTGTTTAGCAATTCTTACATGCAATTCTTCAATTTCTATGCATTTTTTTAGACCAAATACAACAATCAAAGAGAGTTTTTTTTTTAATTCGTATATAACCTGATAATTGGTATTGCACCAAGAAAGAAGCATCTGAAGTTGTCTGTGCCATCAAATAAACATTCACAGTTTGTATTGCATACGCATACACGCATATATTCAAAATGAGATGCTTCCACTCCATAGCATACCGTCCGTATTGTGCAGATGTTCGTTTATTTATTTATACAAACAGAGTCAATGCGGCTATCCTAACTATCAGTGTTTGCTGTATATGTGATGGTTGTGTTATTGTATTCCGTGACATAAACACACTGAATGAAAACCAAAACACACATCGTAACCATTGAAAATAGACGTAAAAAGGGCAGCTACCAAAAAAAAAAACAAACACAAAATCTGCGCAGTTTCTTGGTCAACCGTCCGGTTCAAAATAGAGTTAAATATCGTGTGAAAATCTAGTGCATACTGAGAGAAGAGTGAATCAATGCAATAAAATTATATCACTTAAATTCAAATTGCATCTTTTTGTTGCTGCAAATGTAAAACTGTCCGGAGTCAATTTTAACTAGATCGCGATATTTTATCTTGAATGCAAACGATTTATTCTATCAAAGATCTGTTTTATTTGCTCGCTTGTGAAACGCGATAAGAAACTGAAATTTTATCACTCACTGAAAATAAAAAAAAAACACCCACTGAAGGCAGAATGACGAAAAAATTGGATTCGGTGCGTCGGTCGCTATTCCGAGAGTTTGAATCTGAAGATGATTCATTGGAAAAATTGTGCAACGATCAAAAGAAAATATCACGCATTTCAATCAAACTGAATAGCAGACTCATCGCAAGCGTTTTATTAATAACGGTGGCCATCGCAGCAATCAGTAAGTTCAAATTCGTTTTTTTTTCTACAAAAAAATGAATGAAAATACACACACAAACACCATTTCCGAGCCAATGGAAATGAATTGAACATTCGAGTTTGTTTTAACAATTTATGTGTAAATACAATGGGTAAATAGAAAAAAATAACACATCCAAAAATAGCGTGTAAATATAAAATAAACGAGCAGATGATCTCATCGATTATGCGTCGAATTGAGATATGATAATGAATTGAGGTAACGGCAAAGGATCACGAATTGTGCATTTCTACACCAGCTATTCGCATGTATGCGATGAATAAAGAAATTAAAAACAGAACTCATACAAATCGATATAATGGAATAACAACGTTTACGCTCTGTTTTTTTTTTGTCGTGATATTCAACGAATGAAAGCATACAAATTTCGATCCACCTACACAAACATCTGAACTGTTGTCGAAATAGTACATCAATTATTGCCGTTATATGGCTAGCGTTTCTCACATTAATGAAAAGAAACACAAACCGATGTTTCATCACACAGAAGAGAAAAAAACAACAAACTAGGCGTCTATTAGTGCTTTTTTTTTTACCGTGGTTTCACTTTTGACATTTATTTTTGAAGATTTGTGTTTTCTCATATAATTTTGGTGATTTCAGACGTATTTCATCCGTTGACCGTGTAACATTTGCATTTCAGTGCATTATTTTGTTTAGTTTTATTTTCGACATTTGTTTGATTGTATCAGCACGAATTATCTATTGAGACATTTTTCCGAATAATTTTGTGAGCGACCTTTTGACTTTTGAAAGTTAATTTTTTTAGCAATTTTCAGAATGTGATATTCACATTTTTCGTAAAAATCATCGATTTTTCCATTTTTTTATTTTTTTTTTATTTTTTCAGGTAACAAGGTAATACAGACGTTATTGAAAGACATGTCTTCCGAATTGTATGGCAAAATTAATTCGAGCCGTGAATGGACACAAACAAACTACACATATCTCATGGAGCCGTTACTATTTGCAATCTTGATCAGTATTTTCACAATGACCATCATTTACTTTGACAGTGATGTGCCTGGTGTTTGTCCACCAACACCATTCTCACCTCGCAAAGCCAGACAGTACGTAATATGCAAATTGACTTAAAATTGCGTTTTTTAAATTTATTATTTATTTTTCAATTTCTATTCACAGAATTCGATATTACACGCACAAAGAGAAAACAAGCCACTTGAGCTTCTGGATATCGATTGCAAGTGGAGTTGTCACCTTCTTTTTGTTGTATTTATAAGTCTTCGTTAATCTAAGTTGACGGCAGTCTGAAAAGTGTCCACCATTTTCCCCATCGAACGAATAGTGTGTAAAAAGTCACTTAATTTACTATTTCATTTAAAATATTAGTTTGTATTTTGTTTATCGGACAAATGAAGTAAGATCCATTCATAAGTTTCATATTGTTTGTTAAGTTACAGAAAACATGATAGTATTAATAACCAAAAACGGGCGTTATTTGACGTGTGTAGAATTATTTTATCGAAGAGATAAAACAAATGTAGAATTAAAACAATAGCATACGTGCTTATTGCAGGGATTAATCAAAGTGAACACATCACATTTTCAGCTAAATTCACTTCATCCATCTGAACGCAAACATCACTTTCTTTTTATCAATTATTTGGATATATATTTTGTTAAATGTTTGTGCCTTTCTCAAATCATCACATATTTACCATGAAATTTGCATTTTTTGTCGAGAAAATACCCGAACATCACCGCGTATTGATCAAAGTTCTCAATTTCATACCATTTAATTTAATTTAACTTGTATTGTTTAAATTAGATTTAAGTGGATATTATTTTACACAAGACAAATTTAAATAAATTAGTTTCAAATAAAGTTAATCGTTTTTTTTTTTAATTGAAAAGTTGTGGTCAAATAATACAAATTTATTGCATTTATAAATTTATAAAAAAAAATCGTCACAATTCAAATTTTTGATCTGGCTTCATCCAAATCCAATTTAAGCGGTCAAATCGGATGAAAAATTTATAAAAATAATTAAATTTGAATCACACGATAATTTTTTTCTAGTTGCACTTGTTGCATATTAAAGAAAGCGATGATTTTAAAGCATGTAATAAATTTGGTTGGTATAATCTGTTCTAACTTATCACAATGCTCGCAAATGTAAGGTCAAGATTTTCGTTCGGCTTCATCAGAAATAAAGCGTAATTAATTTTTAAATTTTTTGAGCTTATCACTAACTGGTAGGTTGTTTCTGTTCAGTTTTGAATTACAGTTTGAGCATTTAAGTTTTGGAAAAAGACAACTGAGGAGATTTTATTTGTGAAAATATCAATTGAATACATATCTTTTATATATCATTGTAATAATGAAATTTAAAGCTATCGTATTTTTAATCGTTACACTATTTATTGGTCTAACATTGAGTATGTATCTAAAAAGGTTCTATAAATTTTACTAGCAGAATAAATTTTTATTTTCAAATAGGTGTGAATACGTGCAAATCGGATCACGATTGCCGAATAACCTGCAGAAATGAAGAAAGAGTCATATGCGGAGGTGGTCATTGCTTCTGTGAAACTAAACCAGAAAATGAAACATGAAACATATTGTCTTTACTTAATAAATGCGTAATTGTACTTTCAATTTCACAGAATTCATTAAGTTGAACGTTTCGCAGTGTTTCAATGTTCGGATTGTTATCCTTTTGTAGCATTTTTCTTATTTTGAGTGAAAAAAAACGTTACGACTGGTGTAACAAAGTTTGTTGTCACATCAAAAATCAGAGTGCGTTGAGATGAACCGATGTAGCAACAACAGCGAAAATGTATGTTCAATGTAAACAAGAGATGAATTTGACTGTAGTAGGCATATATAAACATATACAAGGCGATGTAAGTTTCATGCGGCACCGTAAACATGTCTGTGCGCGATTATTCATGTATAGGTACGAAATGTTTTCTGTGTTGATATACGACATAGCCTCAGCTTACTTCGTTGTGTAGCAGACTGAGGGAATTTATTTGAACATAAAACGTCATTTCATCCAGAAAGATTCTATGACGCAGTTGTTGATTTGAATCAAAGAAGGTATTGTTGGTTTGTCTTTTTTGTGTTGTTTTTGAAATGGAAATAATATTGAAGTGAATTTAAAATTGTTGACATTTATTTATTTTCAATAGATCTCAATTTTTTCGCTTTAAAAGAAAATCAAAGTAAACTTGACCGAGAAATTGAAACATTTTTTATGCAAAGCCGTTCTGATTGTTAGTATCAATTGCAGTTAGTTTTTTTGGTCCAAGGTTCAGAAAGTGAGTACTTGCATTAAAAAAATATATTTCGGTTGGAATTCGTCTTGATGATGAAATAAGTAATTTACTCAAAAATTTATTATAAAATTGTAATTTCTAGGGAACATCAGTTTATTGAATTGTCGTTTCAAAACGAAATCAAAATGTCTTTTTATCGGCGTAGAGGAAAAAGTGCAAAGCAAAAGTATGTTGAAAATCGGCGACTTTTTAATCGGTTGTTACACGAGCATTACGAGAATGACGAAGAAATTCCGCCGAAAAAGCCGAAATTGACGCCAAAGCCAAGAGCCGTTCGAACTCCGAAGCCAAAAGACGCCGAAAGTCAAACGCCGAAAGCCAAACGGTCAAAGAAAGTGTTGACGCCAAAGATTGAAGGGAAAACACCGAAAGTCAAACGGTCAAAGAAAGTGTTGACGCCAAACATTGAAGAGCAAACACCGAAAGCCAATTTCATGGATATGAACAATGACTGCATTCGTGAAATCATGGTATATTTGGATGAAAACGATTTATGCTCGTTGAGCACACAATGCCAACGACTGCGAAATCTGACAAAATGTGAACTATTCCGTCGTTTTCCAAATGAACCAGCAAAAATCGAAAGATTTGAAGAAAATGGTTATTGGTTTCGCTATCCCGGTGTCGACAAATTCATCGTTTGCTTTGCTCAATTTAACAAACTTTCGATTGGCAATGCAGTGTCAAATGTCCAATCGATTGAAAATTTGTACGAATATCTACAAGCCAAAGAACACAGTCGCATTGATGAAATCCATTTCGAAGGCTGTCGCAACATACGACCAACACACGGCCGAGCAATGGCCAAAATGGTTGAACAAACAAAATCGGTCACATTCAATCGACTCAAAATTACTGGCGAATTTTATAAGTCGATGCTGTGCCATTTTCCATCGATGGAAAATTTGGTACTTCGAAACTCGTTCGATATGGTGTGTGAAGAAGGCGCACACAGCAATTGGTTGAAAGAAATATATCCGAACTTGAAAAACTTTTCATGGTTTGTCGATGAAGAAATTGAAGTTACCGATGAATTGAAGTTGTTCTTCGAACAGAACAAGACAATCAAACATTTTTCGCTGTACACACGACGAATTGAAACGCTAAAACAATTGGAAGCAGCTGACATCAAAATCACGCATCTATATTTTCGAATCACACACAATGTTGAACAAAAACTGCTGTATTTCCAAACGATGTGTGACAATTATCAATCGCTACAACTTCATTTGATGTTCGAAGATCGATGCCGATCGGAATTAACATCGCATATCAAGCTGTTCAGTACATTGAAAACGAATCTGCGAGGTTTGTATTTGGATGGCCTTCCGCCATCTGTAAAACTGGCCGAACTCATCGCTGGATGTGTTGACCTGAGAGATCTTCAAGTACGACATTGCAAAGTGATTGATCAATTTGCTGATTTACCAATGTTGGAGAACGTTTACGTTTCGCGAGGTATGGTTGAAGGTACACAAGAAAGCATCTACAATATGATCTACCAATTTGCTACCCAAGCACCGAATTTGAAGAACTTGTTCTTCCGCAACAGCTGTCGTTTATTTGAAAGCTTTAATTTCAGAGCTATTAACAATAAGCGGTCCCAACTAGAAGGCGCCACAGAAATGACTTTCCACGTTCGAACAAAGTCCAAAGATCGTATTAATGAATTGTCAAACATGCAGGTACATTATGACATGCTGAACATCAAAATAACTGACCGCGAATCATTGCCAAATCCTTTGACTACCGATTGGCTCTATACCCATTAAAACAACAACAACACATCTTCTGTTCCGTTTTTGTTCCGTTGAAATTTTGAAAAAAAAAAAAAAATGAAATTATTCATTGCAAAATGACAAATAAAATAATAGATTTAAGAGATTCAGTCAAACACAAGCAAAATACCTCAATGTATGGCTAGAGTAATTCTAATCATTTTAAAATTGAAAGAAAAAATTCAAATTGACATAATTCGGTTATAACTTGTAATCGTGCAACAATGTCTTTCATAAAAGAGAATTTTTGAATCGAAATCTTTATATTTAACTATCGAAATGAATCGAAGTATTAATATTAGTTATATTAAAGAAGTGGTATGTTATCAATATACGTTCATTATAAACGACTTAAATGCATTATAAGAGTGTTTTATTTGGAACGGAAAAGGATGATCGAAGAATTCCAACAAATACTGGCTATCTTGTTTGCAAAACAATCTACAAACAGGTGGGTGTTAAAAATTTGTACAAATAAATCATTGTGTCGCGTTCGATACTGAAACACTTTGAAAGGAACGCATTGAGATGAACGAGATTCAAACAAATAAAACGGTAATTTTGTTGCACTTCTGCTGTCTTTACATGCATTTTTCTTGATGAATTTTTGTATTGGATGGAACGAAGTGTGCACTTTGTGCAGATTAAATGTGTGGCCTGAACACACATTCGGAGCCATGACAACACAAATTCCGTTGATTAATCGGTCATATTAGTTCATGGTTCTTCATTTTCGGAGCAGTGGCGCATGTCAAAATCAATTTTTGCACACAATTCATGAGTGTTGATAACGATCAAATATTTGGCTTTCTTCTGGTAAAAAAATGCTATTTCGTTTGAATTTTAGACGTTTACATCATGTCTTGACATTTGCATTTAGAAGTGAATTTGTGAATTTGGGATAAAAAGATAAAAAATATTCATTTTCTCCATTCATTTTATCTACCAGCGACTTTTTGAATAAACAACTATCAGTCGGATGGAAAACAATGAAGCGATTGATATTCCTCCCAAATCAAAAACTTATTTTGTATAGTACGGTATTTCCAGCTGAAGATGTGAAATAAGAGAAAAATTTACACATGAGAAAAAAATTACTAAAGAGATATGATTATTAAATTTTTATAAACAAGAATCGCGTTGCTTGCATTTTCGGTTTCGATTGTGTTTATTCAAACAAACTGTATGGCTGTATAAGCAATATCATTTACCACGACGTATTAATTGTTCTTATGCATTTCTCTTCTCAATATCTTTTATATCTCACATTGTGTGTGATAAACATGAAAAAATTCAAATCAAAACTGTCACATCTTCAAATAGATACTATGAACTTTTCTATTTTTCAGGTATGATGATCGAATTTAATGAAATAAAATGCTTAAAAATGTATTTTTATAGATAGATTTAACTTTATTGTTTTTTTTTTTTATTAAAATACACAATAGTTGTTTGTTTTATATTTAATGTAAAATATAAATCATTATCGATGTATAAAGACAATAATTCATTTTGTTTTGTTTGATTTTTCTTGTAATTAAAAATAGATTAAATTATTACATATTGTTAAATAGAATTTGAAAGGTGTGTGTATGTTGTTTGATTGTTTTTCATTTATAAATTGATTGCTCTCATCGAAAACACGTTCGTTGTGTCATTTTGATGCGATTGGAAACGCATTGGAATGTATGTTAATATCTTTAAATCGATGTTTTACTGTATCTGCCCTTTAAATCAAACTAGAACATATATATATATATCGAAATAATTTCACCCCACCATCTTTTATTGCTTATTCTTCATTCCTTTTTTGTTTGTCCATTATTTAAAAGAAAAATAACGATTTTAATGCATATTTTTCATTAATTTTCAGTTTGTCTTCTTATTCTCTGTTTTTCAAACATTTTTGGCACTAATTCAATATTGTTTTTACGTAACCATAACTTGCACTTTCCATTTTTAACAAAAAAATTCTCACCAATTATTGAAGTGTTTTTTTATCGATTGTGTTTAGTTTGCAGCTTAAAATCTATTTAATTTTTTTCTCGTGTAAAAAAAAAATTAGGAAAAAAATGAAAGAAAATTAAAACTTGACTATTTGCATCATCACCATAACCAAAAATCGCTATTAATTTTAAAAAAATAACATCGTCCGCATTTTTTTTGTTCAATTTCTGTTTAAAATTATAACACGTTAATTTCTCGTTGATAAAAAAGAATCGGATCCGTTTGTAATAAGTGTTGCTTGTGTGAATGAGGTAGACCTTGGTGTGTCGATTTTTTTAAAAAATAATTTGTTGCCAATTTTCTAAATTGTGGTTTCTTTTAAGAAGAATTTTGAATTTATATGCGGTCTTTTCCTCGGACATTTTCCTCCACGACTTGATCGATTTGGGGCTACTTGCTCTCCTTCTCTCTATTTTACAACTGAACAAAATGGAAACAATCAACTTTTTCCTCCATTCTTGTCATCTTTCTTTTTAAAACTTCAAGTCCATTGATAACATATTACAAATATTACAGTTTATTTTACTATATGGCTGCATTGTTCATTTTCGTAATATAATTTACAAAAGAGTATAAAAATAGTCAATAAAAAACGATAGCATAGTTGATTTATACATACGCACACACAAAACCAAATGATCTTTTTTTTTGTCGGAACAAAAAACTAACCGACACATTTGAAACGAAAAAGCGTGCGGAATATTGTGTGTTTTGTAGAGAAAAAAAAACAATATAATTTTTTTCTTTTAAAAATAACGAAAATAAATAATTCTTCAAGCAAAATAAATTAGATCAACTGCAACGAGGGAACAGCAGCATTTATTACAGCGAATCAAAGCCGGATATATCGCTCGCCTGAAAAACCACAAATCAAAATTTCAAAAAATTAAAATCTGTTGCTTGATTCCAGTGAGAAATCTGACTTACCCGATCGGGTTTGTATAAGTGCGTGTGTGGCAGTAAGAAAGTTGAGCCCAAATCGCGCTCAGCCATCGTACCTGCATCATCCATCATGATCGTTGAAAGCGGCTTATCATAAACACTTGTATTTTGACTTCGATAATGCGGCGATTGTATCAACGTCTTGGTCTGTGGATGAACTAAAGTTTCGCCATACGAACGTGCCTCGGATATGATTCTAGCGGACAAAACAAATGAAAAAGTTAGTTGTATTTGAAATTTATCTCGATTTCAAATGAAATTCCATTCATACAATTCATTTTCTGGCACATTCGTCAACCAGTCGACCAGATGATCGGTGGTTTTTTTGTTTGTCGATATGCTGCTGTTGGCATCTAATCCATTTGCATTCGGAACAGTAGTTAAACTATCATGAACAACCGTAGCTGACACTTCAAAACCAGCTGATATTAAAGCGCCTGCAAAATCGAATTCATTCTCATTTTTACCGAATAAAAGATACCACAACGATATAAAATTTAAAATAAAAACAACAACAACAAACCAGTTTCACCCGAATGATATGGATAATGATGATTCAAACTGTCATCATTTAAATGGCTCTTGCTATTGTGCGCACTTGTTTTCTTCTTTATAAAGTTCTGAAACATTCGTATTTAAAATGAAAAAGACCCATTCGAGACGAAAGAGATTAAAAATAAAAATTACCTTCGATGTTGATGGACTAGCATCTAAATAGCTTAACAATTTTGCCTCGGCAGTTGAACCAATTGAATCGGTTGTTGTAAACATTGTTGCTTGACCTTGTGTTGCCGTTGCTACACCGGTTTGTACACTACGACTGAATGAACATTGAATTTTTGTATTAGCGAAAATTCGGAATCAATTGCTTGATTCGATGAGTGAATGCTTACCGATCTTGATGTTGATGATGTTGTTGCTGTGATTCAGGTGGTGCTTGTGTTGTTTGTTGTGAATAGTATTTTGCACGTGGAATCATCACAGTCAACGAACGATTTGGATCAATATTTGTTGACATTGTTGCTGTGTTGTTGGTTCCCTTGGGTGGTGCCGGAGCCATTCCTTTTGGCGGTGCCGACGTTGGCTTATTTATGACTTTCTTAGCATTTTTCGATGAAGCATTTTGCTGCTGCACATTTTCAAAACAAAACGAATCAATTAATATGTTCAATTGATTTGTTTACATATTTTTTTCATAAATAATTTCGAAATGGAATCGTAAATACCTTCTTTGCAACATATGGCAACTGTAATGAATCCTCGCTCGTTTCGCTGCTGGTGTCTTCAATCATTGCGCGTCTATCTTGTAATGTTCCCGTTTTGCTGCCATGCACAGTTAGAGTTTTGTGTGGCAAAATATCGATGCCTGGCACAACGGTACGTCGTCGACCATTAGGTCGACTGTGCTTCCAACATGTCAATATGATGCAAATCAACAACAGAGCAAATAGAACACCGCCCAATGCAATTAGACCAACAAGCAACACTGAAATTATATTTTATTGATTATCATTTCCATTATTTGTAAATAAGAATGAAACAAAAAATGAGCGAAAAGAAATGAAAGAAAATTAGTATTTTTCAAATTAAAGAAAAAATTACCTTTCAAATTGTATTGACATTTTTCGCCCGCATACCATTGGAAGCAATCACAAACCATTTCATGCATTTCGTTATCATCGTCGATTTGCTCAAGGCAACTGCCATGATAATTGCATCGATCACAACCCATCATTTCGGCCGAACATACACGACCCGGATACAATGGATTTTCAGACATGTCGACAAAGCCTAAGAAATTCATTAACATTTCAATGATTGACGATTCATGGCATCGAACTTTTATTTGGCAAATAAAAAAATAACACTAACCTTCTTTGCACGAACAAGTGTAGGTGCCTCGTAAATTGAAGCAATATGCATTTTCCGAACAATCATGATATTTCGCATTCATGCATTCATCGAAATCTGACAAATTAAGATGGATTTCAATACATAAGCACGTTTTGTTTTAGTGAATTTTTTTCTCAAACAATTTTAATAAATTTTAAGAAGAAATCTAAATTTCCAGAAAGAATTACTCACCATTTGCTCGTAGTTGGTCAATAAGAGACTGTGATGAAAACAAATTCGTTCCGCCCAAATTATAGTTATTCTTTTGCAAATACTTTTTGAATACGTCCATAATTTGTTCTTCATTCTTCGAATTATCGGACAATTGTAAATGGAATTCCGTTTCGACGCCTCTCATTGGCGCCGCAAATGGTTCGGCCGACATTTTCGATGATCCGGTTTGTGTGCTATTCGCACGAGTGATATTATTAAAACCAGCCACATGAACACCATGATAAATGTCACGTAGTTCGGATTGCATAACCATACGATCGATGGCATCGTGCACGACTTGCATCAAATGCGAATATTTCGGTGATGATGGATTACGCAATGCATCTTCGTATTTCAGTGATTGACTTTGCAACTGTGAAACGGCCAAATGTAGCGTGTATGTGTATGTAGCTGCAAAATTGAGAAACAAAACGAAATCGATAAATTTGTATTTAAAATTATTTTTTAAATTAAAAAAAAAGAAGAAAGTTCGTACGTTTACAAGGTCGATCAAGGAACATTCTAGCAAAACCAGGTCGACACACGCATCTAGCCAAATCGCCAGTAATCTGGCAAATTTCATTGTTAACCGCTTTACAATCGGGTTGACATTCCGGTTGCGTTGTAACACGATTTTTATCATGTGATGTTCTTGTCTCCTCAATAATTGCGGCACCTTGGCTTTCAATGTGCTCGTCAATTTCATCGGCCGGATTAATGTCATAGGTAATTGTATGCGTCGATTGTTTTGGTGGTTTAGCGACCGTTGCACCATTGTTATTCTTCGATACTTCCGATGAGCGTGGTGGTGTTGCAATTAAAATGCCACCAAGTAAAACGTGACTCACATCATTTCGATTATCGTCTTCATCATCACGTTTTGGTAAATTATCAAAGAAATCATCGTCATCGGTTGTTTCAATATTATCATCGTCCGTGGAAACATCATCAATAGCACCCATTGTTGCATGTGCTTTCTTCTGTGTACCGCTTGTAATTTCATCATGTCCATGTTTCGTTGTTGAGTTATGTAAATTGGCTGTCAATGTATTCAGAAGATCCGCATTTATATTGATGGTGCCAAGTTTTCTGCGATCGCTCATCACAACGAAAATGCTATCGTTTGTTCCATTGGACGGGGACGATGATGTTACAACGTGTTTTGTTGATGTGACTGTTTCGGGTATTTTTGGTGTTGGTGAAATCATCATATGTTCAATATTATGAATGTCATCCAATTCAAATGATTGATCTTCGCTCGATACATTCGAACTATCATGTTCGTGTTCGCTTTCATCATGAGCCGAACCAATTGCATAAATCGAAAATGATGGATTTGGCACGATTGCCGATGATGATCCTGATACTTTTTGCATTGTAATCGGTGCCGTAAAAATGGTTGGTTTAATTGTTGGTTCGTGTGTAACACGGGTCGGTTTCACAAGTGTATGCGTTATGGTATCAACAATTGTCGATGTTTTTGTACGTGTCAATGTCAATAGTATTGTTGATGTAATGCCTTGAGAACGTACCGTTGTTTTGGTCGTTGTAACTGTCAATACTTTCGTATCATGAACGGTGTGTCGGGTTGCTTTGACCGTTTCAGCTTTTAGAGTGGCCGTTGGTTTAATCAATTTGATTTTGGTGGCTGGTGTGGCACGTGATGATGGGGTTGAAATTTCTTCAAATATATGATGTTGTGATGGTTGAAGCAATGAACTTTCATCGAATTGTGGCGATTGTGGCATATGTCCATTTGATGTTGGTTTAAATGGTTTTCTTAACGTTGATAATCGCGGTACATCCGGTTTGGTATCAACATTATATCGCACATAATCATCCAAATCACTAATTATATTCATGGTCGTTGGCTCTGTGGTTCGGATTGGTTCTTTTGTCGACGATTTTTCACGCATTACATTTTTATATGGAATGTGAACATTGTCATTTGGATCACTTTCGGCTACCTCTTGCTCTTCGGTGCTGGTTACAATTTGTGGTTCTCCAATGGTACCGGTTTCGGTGCCCGATTCAACATAAGCATCATGATGCGTTGTCACATACGATGTTTCCGGATAATGTGTTGGAGCTGTGATTGAGAATATACCGCCCACAGTTGGCCTATGCACCGGATGTAAGTTACCATGCGGTACACCATAATTACCATTGTGATTGTCAACGCTAACGACGGCTGGTGGTTTTTTAATGGATAATTTTGGAATTGGTGGCGGTGACAGTCCCATCACTTCTTCAATCAAAACATTTTGATGATGATGCGGCGATGGTGAAATGGCCGGCACATGCTTTTGAATGTATGGTTTGTATTTTGTGGCATGTGTTGGTGGTGGTTGCATTTCGGTGGCTGGTGTCTTTGGATATTGTTCGGCCGGATGGACTGGCATTGATAGTTTTGTCTTTTCACCAAATGGCATGAAAGCGGAATTTGTAATGCCCGGCAAATTATCGGTGGTCATAATTTGATTTGGATTCTCTGTAATCGATGCAAAATTATGTGGATTATTGCTCTCCTTAAAATCAAATAGATCGGATAATGTAACTTCAACATTTGAGTTTGTATCATTGTGTTTCATGCTTGTGGTTGGCCGTTTTTCTTCGCCAATATTCAAATTCGATGACGATGATCCCGATGAAGATGATGATGGTTCTTGTGCATTTTGTCGTTGTGGTGAGAAAATGAACGGTTTTCCACGTGTCAAATCGTAAATATTGGAATCTTGGGCCGAATGCGTTATATTCGTTGATGGATCCGTGTAATGTGTGATCTTTGAATCTGGATCTGGTCTTTGAATATAATTATTAACATTGTGTTTGATGAACGACGGTCGATGCGTACTGTATGCATTCAATTCACTCGTTTGTGGTGTTTGATCGTGCAATGTTGTTGGATGTCTCGTTGTTGTCAATGGTACATTTGGTCCAAAGTGATTAGCATCGAATGGTTTGCTTGAATGCCAATTTGGTTTGATCGGTTCACCTTGATGCAGTGAGTAATTCGTTGGAATTGGTTTGCTATGATGTACGGGATAGCGTGAAAATGGTTTTTGCTTAATTGAAACGGGTCGTCGTGAATGATGCGATTGTGACGGTGGCGCAAGTGGACGATGTGCATCCGAATACATTGGTCCGGCAAAGTGTGGTGGTACAGGTAGATTTTGTAGTGTGATATGATGTGGTGTGCCAAACTTGGATGGTCGCTTAGAGAGTGGTTCAACACCCGACTGTGGCTGATGGCCATAGAACACTTGTTTGTTGTTTGGATTTCGAATAGCATAATTTGGTCCATGTGTTGCAATTGGTTTTAATGTTTGTGTACGATTTGCTGGCACATACATATCATTGACCAGCGATGGTGAAATCGATGGAATTTGTACTTTAGCTTGATGCGCACCGAATGGCATACGATTTGCGCTGGTTGTATGCGAATGTGATGACGGTGTTTGGCTCACTAATGGACCTTCAGTGGTAAAGTTCACGGGATATAATTCACTTGTCGATGGATACTTATTCCATAAACTATTCGCTTCGGTTTGTGTAAATGGAATGCGTTGATCTTTTGGCAAATTCTTTGTCGTTGGTTTTGTTGCGTCCAAAATTTGATTTAAATTATCGACAAATGATTGGTCGCTTGATACAAGCTGTGGCACTGAGTTCGATTCTTGAATCACTTCGCCGTGCTCATTTTCATAGTCATCCTCTTTGTGTTGATCAATGTGCAATTGTTCATTAACTGATGGTGCTTGTGAATGCAATGGCAAATTATCATCGCTCACTTCACCCGAAATATTTGCATCTTCATCATTGCTCATGCCCAAATTTATGCTTTGAATATCAACGACAAATGGCGAACGATTATTGTCACGAATCAAATTACCAGCGTCTGGAATGTCATAGTATGGATGTTCATCATGATGACTGCGATTATATCCATTTGGAATGTAAAGATGCTGATGTGATTCGACGTCTTTATTTAAAATTGTTCCGGATGTGATTGGAATATCGTTTGTGTCTTGATTTCGGAATATAATTGGTGGAGCATGCATGTCAACATCTTGGCTTAAGACGTGCGAATCAACATTCACTTTTTGATTTGCAACGGCTGGCACCGAACCAATTTGTACATTATTCACATCTTGTACTTGTGCATTAACATTCTTTGTAACCGCAATTGATGGTTTCGAATGTATGCTAATGACTTGATCGTTTACATTTGGATATGGTGATGGATCGTCGAAATATTCACCAGACTTATGCATTTCTTGTACACCGCCAAAGATTAGTGCACTTGAACTACCATGCGGTATTACAACTTTTGCAATTTGTGACGGTTGAATATTTACAAATAATGGTTGACCAGTTGCACTTTCAACAACTTCAGGGAATTGATTCAATTGATTTAGTTGATTTATCGTTTGAATTTCGTGTTGTGGACGATACGCTATCGCTTTGCTTGGTTCAATTGTTTCGGCTGTGAATGAGACAATCTCTTGTGGCGCATGATAGATGTGAACCGGTGGCAAATCAGTACTAAACACTTCAGGTATACGCTGAATTTCAATGATATCATTCATACCACCGGCAACATTATTCAATACAAATTTATGCATATCAGTGTTGGACGGAATACCGATATTTGGTGTTGGATGCACATGATTTAATGGAATTAAATTTGGTCGAATTGGCTGTGGAACTGAACGATTTGGTAGCGGTGGCTCCTTGTTTTGAAGATGCGGTGGATGAGCGACATGCGGCCGAATACGATTCAAATGAATTTGATTTTGAATTATTTGATTTGGAAGCGCTTGATTTGAATGTCCTTGATTTGGATGATGCACTTGTTTTGGATGTACTTGATTTGGATGCAATTGATTTGGATGCATCTGATTGGCAATGACTTGATTTTGATGAACTGCATTTGGATGGATTTGATTTAATTGTACGTGATTTTGTTGCAATTGATTTCCAATCAACTGATGTGGCGGCAATGCCGATAAAATATGTTGTGGCGGCGGCGGCGGTGCTGGTTTGTTTTGTACAAACATTGGCTTATTTCTGAAGACTGGAATTTTATTGAAATGCGGTGTTGCCTTCGCCAAATGCGGTGGTTTTTGTTGCAATTGTGACAATGGTTTCTGTGGCAATGGAGGCGGTGGACCAATATATGTCTCACTTTGAACTGAAGAAATTGGATGGGAATCAGTGTTAAATTGTTCCGGTGACATATTTCCACTTGAAACAGTTGAAACTGGCGTTTCTATAAAAAAACATTCCATAAAAATAAGGGTTTTAACTAAAGTGAATTACATTTTTAATTGTCTTTTGTACTTCAATGTCCAAATTTTAATTTTACTTTTCAAAATAAAATAAATAAATAAAAAATGTACCTCTATTCAATGGAATTCTTGGTCGATTTCCTGTTGGCCTTCCGAAAATCACATCTGAATTGGTCGTGATAACATCACCAGGTGAAATGGGAATGCCACCGTCTCCGAGCAGCGGAATCTTATTCTTTTGATTTAAATTCAAATTTTGAATTGATTTTGTGTATGTAATTTCATTGCTACTTTCCGAATGATCAACAATTTCGGGTGGTAAAAAGTTGACGGGCGTTAAATTTTCAATATTTTCATAGTTCTCTTTGTTGTTTCCATTGACTGGAATATAAATGGGATTTCGTGCATGTCCTTTGGCCGGTTCAATGCCAGTGGGTGGTTGTGGCACACTATCGCCACTTTGATTGTTTGTCAAGTTTTCAATAAAATCGGGAATTGGCGGCAAATTTGGTCGACCCGGTGTATACAATGGATATGGTGTATGATGAACGGCAATTGTTTGCGCATTACTTGCAATACTATCATTATTCCAATTGATCATTGGTTTAATAAGACCCGCGACGGCATCAATCATTGGTCGTAATACACCTGCAACAATAAAAAATCATTCAATATACTTTCATTAAAGCTACCGTTTTTATTTTGGGAGTATACTCAAGTGAACAATGAATTATAAAGCTCTTGCACATACTTCCAAAGCACTTATAAAGAGTTACTTCTATACAAACCATTGAAATTGATGGATCCAATTAAATTGCTAACCGGCGATTGCGTTTGTGTTTTAATTTTCGTGGAATTTTTAAGCGTTGGTCTTGAATCGACTTTATTATTGATTGGATTTGTTTCCAGTGGTTCATGTTCACTTCCGGCCACATCTTGATCATTTTCCAATTCATTTTTCGTATTATCAATTTCAATCAGATGCTCTTCGCTATTTTCTTCACTATTCACAATCGATGCACCGTTCGAGTAAACATTTGTTGTTTGCATGTCATCTTTTTGCTTTGAACTTGGTTCGATTGCATTTTTCACCGCTGTAATTTCGATCGATTGGCCATCGATCAATGTGGCCAGTGTTGTATATTTTATTTCGTTTTTTATTTGTGCTTGATTTTGGTCGTCGCCAAAGAAAAGTAATTTAAGCTTGTGAACAGCTGACGATGGCAAAAATTTCATTGGAATCGATTCGGTGACAACATTTTCAACAACACGCGTATGCGAATCAATTACCGTTGATAAGTGCTCATTATCATAATCGGATGATGCAGCGGCTGGTGCATCTGTATTGCTTGGCCCTTCTAAGTGTGTTGTAAAATAGGTGAATGTTGTTGCAAATGTTTTCGTTGCATATAAATTGACCGTTTGGCGTAGTTCTTCGTTCATAAGTTCATTTGAATCGATTGTTTTGTAATCGTCATCGTGTCCGATATTATTGTCAAGCGGTTCAATGCGAATGGGCAATGCGTTACGCGTTGTTGTTTGTGGTGCTGGCAATCGTTTTGTTGTTGGATATATGTAAAGCTTTTCGGTGGCCACAACCGATGATGTTGACATATTTGTTCGTACAATTGTACTGCCATTGATCAAATACGTATTAAAATATGTGTATGTAACATAAAATGTTTTCACCACATCGGTGACGGAGAGTAGTGGCGATGATAAAATATCAGCTTTATCAGCTGGACTCTCATTTCCCTCCGAATCGATTGCAATGTACGATGTCATTACTGACATACTTTTCGAGGGTAAAAGTTCCGTAATTACCACTTGTCTCACCACATCAGTTGTACTTATCACTTTTGTAATATCATTATCGGTTAGAGTTTTCGTTAAGACCATTGTATTGAAGTATGTATTTGTTTCGAAGAGTGTTGCGCTCGGTTCGGACGGTTGTAAAATTGATAAATAATCCTCGGGCGCTGTTATTGTATTTGCGACGGTGTGCTGTGATGTTAAAACAACCGGTTGTTCACCATCTAAAACCGTGTTCAAATACGTGTATGTTGTTTTAAAAACGCCCGTAGCAAGATGAGGAGTCTGAAACAATTTTATGGTGATTGATTATTTTGAAAAGTTGCAATTCGTGATTTGAAGTCTGGAAATTTTACATTTTATATAGAGTTTTTTTCAACAACAAAAATAAAAGTAAAGAAAAAAAAAACAATCTTGGGAGCGGAATTTCAAATTTGATTCCAAAAACTCTATTAAAACCAAACATGGCGATGAGTGAGACATGAATAGACAAAAAAACTGAATTTACATACCTGTGTCAATGTAATTCCTGATGCAGTTGTTGGCCGAATATTATAAGCGTTTCGTTCTTCGGTGGCTGTGTTTGTGATGACTTTTTCGCGACTTTCAATTTTCGTTGTGCCATCCAAAACATATGTTGTGGAATAGGTGAATGTTGTGAGGCATGTTTTGGTGACAAATTGATTTTGATTGTAAAACGATTGTAATTCATTTATAACTGGTGTACTCTTGACTGGATCGCCGATATTAGCGACGGCACCGTTATTACTATTGTCGTCGGTTGTTTGCGGCAGCATCAATAGCATATGATCTTTTAATGTGCTCGGTGCGAGTGTTAATGGCATTTTAAATGCTTCAGTTGTGGTTAAAATTCGTAGATGTGTATTGGGATGGCCGCCCGGCAATGTTGTTTTATCGCCAGCAACAATAACTTCAACGCCATTTGACATGATGCGCGTTGCTAAATTATAACGCGCTTCGTCTGTCTGCTTATCTGCACTAACACCTAAATTATTTTGTATACGACGCCGATCATGATGATTCTGACTAGATCGATCTTTTCTTTGGCGACTTTGGTAGTTTTCTTGCTTATTGTGCAGATAATGACTTAAATTATGCGATTGATTATGGCTATTTGTTGTTGCTGCTGCTGCTGCTGTTGTTATTCGCGATAAAGACTGTTGTGATGCTGCGGCTGCTGATTTTGCACCGGTTCTAATGCCCTTCCAATCATTTCGCACGAAACTCGATGTCAATAAGCTTGATGCTTCTTTGGAGTGGGTAAAAAGTACAATACGAACAATTAGTTAAAATTGATAGAGAAAAAATCGTGGAGGTTTTTTCGATTTTTTCGATTTTGGTTTTGGTTTTGGTGTGTTTGTGTGCGTTTTCTTGTTTTTTTTTTTTGCATATTTATTTTTTTGTTTAGGTATGTTTTTGCTTTTAAACAATTGTGTTTATGAAAATGTAAAATGTTAGAAATATATTTGAATGTATAGATGCTTCTAAGTGCTAACTTTAACCAAAAACTAACGAAAAACAACAACAGCAAATTAAAATAAACCAAACATAGAATCCAAAGTTATTCTTATAAAAGCAACATTTTAAAAGCATAAATCACGTGAAGCTCCGTGCTTTCAAAGTTGCTCAAGTCAAGCGGTAACAGACTTTAATTTGAAAGAAGTTTGAATTTTGGTACTTCGAAAAAATATATTGGATCTTATTTATTTACGAAATTGATCTAAATGTGTTATGTAAAAAAAAGATGTATTAAGTGTAATGAGTAAATTAGTTTATATGTGTATGTATGTGTGTGTGTGAGTGTGTGTCATGTCATATCTAAATTTTTAAAATTATTTTCACTTCAATCAATTCATTCAATTTTCATTGTGACAAATTAACATTGGACGTCTAGATTAAATCGTTGTTTCTCACAAGCGAATTACCTTCCCAGATCATAAATCGAATATTCATCGTACCAGAACCCAAGCCGAAAGAATTCAATTGATTGAAATGATTGAAATGATGCCTAGCTAATTACATATACATAGACTCTAGATGTGAGCCACTAATTTATCACTCACCTGTACAGGATATAGTTTTATGTACAAATTCAGTGTGAATGTGTGTGTGTTTTTTTTACAAAACAAAAGGAATGTTCATGCGCGAATTTTCATCTGGATGATCGAGATTTTTTTTGTTTGTTTGATCGTTTAAAAACTGTACAAAAACGTTATTTTGTAGAGTAGGTAGTAGAGAGCGGGTTGAATATAAAATTAAGTTGGTTAAATGGCGATAATAAACCGATCCACCGCGAAAAGGGAAATACAACAAGAAGATGCTGCTTGGTTTTTGGCATGTCCGTGTCAATATAATACAATGTGTTATTATTGTCGCAGTGTCATCGTCTGCATCGAAATTTGTGTGGATTCATTTCTGTTTTGTTTCGTATCGTTCAAGTCATTAAAAATGTCGTTGGTTTTGTGTGATATCATATTGAATGCATTAATTTGATTCGATTGTTTATGTGGTGTCAATAATCGTCTCGACGCTTTGAATTGTATATGTATTGTTGTTGTCATTTCTTCTTTATTTTTTTTTAGCAAAATTAGATTTTCAGTGTTTCAGTTGGTTGAATGTTCAGAATAGTATGTGTTATGGTGTCGGTAAGCGTTTTAATTTGATCGCGTACAAATGTTGATGAAATCGTTTCAGATTGTTTATCATGTACACGGGTAACAACGTATGTGTATGTGCGTTGTACAGTGCTTAGGCGCGGCTTGAGCTCCAGTGATATAATTGGTGTGGCCAATTTGGAAACCACCGATTCACGGGATAATGATGTTGATGATAATGATGCTTCGTTTATGGATGGTTCAAGTGCAATTAATGGCTTTGGTGTGATGCGTCTACGTTTTATGAATAGTTTCTTCTTCTGTTCAGTTGAAAGGGTATGTCGATTGGTTGATTCGTTGCTCGAATCAATGTTCGATGGTGTTGATTGGGTTGTTGTTGTTGTTGATGATGATGTCGGTTCTTGTTGTTGTTGCTGTTGTTTTATTGATGGATTCAAACGAGTCCTTCGAATTGGCACTATAATTCGTCGTTTGCTTGGTTTTATCTGATTTCCCGATCCATTCGATTCATGTTTAATTTCATCTTGAGTATTTTCGTTATTACTACGTTTAATGTTTACTTTGTCATTCGTTTCGTTCATATTCCTAAGAGTATTATTTGGATTGTTTCCTATTTTTCTAATGAATTTTTTGATTTTGCGTTGTCGTTGTGGTGCCACTGAACTCGCTTGATTTACTGGCAATTCATCATCGTTGGCATTTGTTGCATCACGTTTGTTTCGTTGTTGTTGTTGCGATGATGATTGATTTGATGATACAATTTCAATGTCCCCTAATGCTGCTGACTCGTCGACTGCATTGTTTGAAACGACCGTTGAAGTGATGAACGGGGCATTTTCATCACGGTCGCTTACAATAAAAAAGACTTCGTAACATAGTTGCTGACATCGCCAAGAATACTTTCAAGGCTTTGTGTTTCGGCTGGTGCACCATATTCAATACCATTCTGACTAGACTCGATGAAATTTAAATCGTTTGTCGACGCAGCGATTGGCATATAAATTTCGTCAATGTCACTACCTTCTGCATTGTACACATCATTTAGATCGGGTAATTGTGATGCTTTCACCACCACTTGTTCATTGATCGCGCGTTTTTGAAGCAATGCATCGGGTGTTGTGATCACCGTTGACAGTACGGTACTGAATTCGCCCGGTTTTCGACCGCTCACATAAAGTGTGACAATGCTGGTTTCAAGCGGCGTCGGTTTTGCCACTTTTTTCGGTTTATTTTGTAGAAAAGATGGTGGCTGTGGTGGTCGTTGTTTTTCCGTTTTTGGTTCATTTTCATACGATTCCAAATCGGGATAATCATTACGAATGTCATCATCAAGTGGTTCGTCAATGTCAAGTTTTTTACTATTTTTATTGTCGTTGAATGAATCGTGCGGCGTTTCTTTGCCGAGCGTCAACAATGAATCTTGCAGCAAACTTTGTGATTTATCCATATCAACATTGGCGCCAATATTCATTAAAATGTTCAATGGACTTTGCTGATGTGATTGTAATAACGATGGTTGCTGTTGCTGTTGTGCCAACAATTGTTGAAGCAACAAATTATTGATATTCTGTGTTGGTTGTACTTGTTGTTGTGTTGGTGTGCTTACAATTGTATCGGTTATAAATTCGGTGGCTGTAATTACATTTACGTTATCATCGTAGATTGTTGTCAAAATCTCTTTGCCACGGAATGTAACGGTTAGAATGGTTGGTTCGGCATTTGATAATGTCGTCACATAGGTTGTGGAACGTGTTTTATAGTCGGTAACTGGTGCCAATTGTGTCGTTTGAATTGGATTGAATGGCAATTGACCGCCCAAACCCAATAATTGTTGTTGTTGCGGTAGTGCACCACCCAAATTGCCCAGCAACAATTGTGATAATAGAATATTTGCCAACGGTGCATCGGCCGAAATTTGCGGTTGCATTGTCGATACAACCGGTTCAACATTGTACACTGTACTTGGAACAATGTGAGAATATGATGTTTTACGGCGATTTATTTGTGTCGGTGTGAATGTAACCGAACTTGTTGGCGTTTCTTTTAAGAAAAATTGGGTGACTTCTGTTGCACCCTTGACAATATTTGTTGCTTCACTGGTCAGAACCAATGTAAGCCCATTATATGCTCGTGATGTTGTGCTGTATTGTTGAGGTCCAAGAATTTCGGTGCTTATTTTATCGGTGATAACATTTTTATAGTCAGTATTTTGGCCATTTACAACCGGAATTGTTACTTCAGTCGGGATGTGATGCGTTACGGTGATGGTTCCGTCAAAGTTTGGAATATATTCATAATCGATGGCATCGCTTGTAATGCGACCCCGTGAACGAGTCGATCCTCTCGTTGTGCCACGCGAATTTGGAGCGGTATTTGTTCGACCGCGGCCATTTCGGTTATCATTTTGATAACTGTTGCCATAGGTTCTTAATCGTGATTTATTGGTTCGTGATGTCGACGATGATGATGTTGGTAATGTTTTTCGGCGAGCCGACGTTTGTGGTACATATCCATTTGTGTTAGCGCCAATGTTTTGGGTTCGACGAAAATTCGATGATCGGCTATTGGTTGGTGTATAACTGTTTGACACCTCCTTTTCACCGCCACTTCGCAATGTAAACTGGGCACGGCTTGGTTTAGCAGCCGTTTTTGACGGTCGAATTCGACTATTCGTATTGATGGCGGCAGCAGCGGCTGGTTGACTCTTTTGTTGATATTCATGATTTTCATTGGTTGTTGGTCGATAACGTGATGTGTAACGTGTGTTTTGTGTTTTGGGTCGTTGTGTTGGCACTTCAGCTTCATCATAGTAAACATCATCGTGGCTACTGCGTGGTGCAGCTTGTGATGTGGCAGCTTGATTTTGTGTGGGACGACGATAACGTGAAAGTGTTCGTGTTCCATAGTCAATTTGACGTTTTGTACGTTTAGGGCTCTTCAATGCTGACTGTGGTGTGAAAACCGCTTTTTTATCACGACGATTGTGTCCATCATATTCAGGGTCAACGGTGTCTTCAGCACCCTCATCGATTTCGTCGTTACCCTCATCGGCGATATGTTCGTCATTGTTTGATTCGTTGGCAACATCATTGATTCCTTCTTGATTTGCTTCGGTGGTCGTTTTGAATAGAGCACGCGGCGGGAACAGACCATTCGATGAAGTGCGTGGTCGATTTGTGAGTGCAGCTAAACTGGCTGGTTTTTGGAATGATCTCTGTTTTGGTTTCGATGTTGTGCTTGTCGTTGTTGTGGCCTGTGTTGACCGTGATCGTTGCAACAATGGTGTGCGTCGTGTTGAAACTGATACGGGATTTGGACGTGCGGTGCTTGTTGGTTGAAAACGACTTCCGGCTCCGGCGGATGTTAATGGTCTACGGAATCGAAGCAATGGATTTTGATTGCGACGTGCATTCTCTGTCGTTGTACTTATTGCTTCATCTTCCTCTTTATTTTCATCGTTGTTTTCGTTTTCATCTGGATTCGTTTCAATGGCTTCGGTGATTCCATCATCCAGTTCGGGTGCTTTGGTTGTTGTACTGTCGCGTAAAGATGGCGTCACCGTTGGATTGGCACGGAAACGAACCGAACTTGGTAAAATGCTCAAACGATTTCCGTTCAACGAACTCGAACGGAA